TTTTTGCTTTATAGTATTAATCTATTTTTGCAAAGCTGAATTTTAAGTGATTGGTGATGGTGGCTTTTACGTGAGGCCCATTGGTTTATTTTTTAAACTTTTTTCCCTCTCCCTCTCTCTTTCCGCTCTCTCTCTGCTTTTTTTCTTTCTTTGTTTAAAAGGGGAAAAAATATACATAAATATGTCAACAAGAGTTTACCTTGGTCGCCTTTCTCGCTCTGCTAATAAGCGTGACATTGAGCGTCTCTTTAGAGGTTATGGCGACATTCGCGAAATTAACTTGAAATCTGGTTTTGGTTTTGTTGAATTTGCTAGTGAAAAAGATGCTAAAGATGCTGTATATGATTTCCACGGCAAGAGCTTCCTTGGTGAAAGGTAACAAAGATGACTATCGAATACTCGACATTTGCTTATAAATTGAAATAGATTGATTGTTGAAATTGCTAGAGGAGCTCGTCGCCATGACGAAAGACGTCCTCGTGGAAATGATAGGTAAATTTCATAAATAACCTATATTATTAATAATGATGATGACTCATAAATTTAATAGAAGTCGCTCTCGTTATCGATTGATTGTTGAGAATATTGCTCCTGGAACGAACTGGCAGGTACGGACCGCTCTTCTTTTTATCACCCCCTCCTCCCTTTTATCCTGGTCTTTAGCCTTTTGGGCAAGACTCTCTACTTTATTTTCTTTGGGGGTGCTTAAACCATGTTATTCTGTTATCTCTTACCGCTCTCCCTTCTCTGTTGGCTTTGTCTTCCTTGGGAACCTTCTTACATAGGACCTTAAAGATATGATGCGTAAAGCTGGTGAAGTTACTTTTGCTGATATCTCTCGTGATCATCCCACAGAAGGGTAAGAAGAAGGTAAACTAGTTTTAGTAAATTAAACCGTTTGTTTAGTATTGTTGAATTCCATGTACGTGAGGATATGGAATACGCTTTGAGAAAATTAAATGACCGCGAGTTGAACGGTCAACGTGTCCAACTTCGTGAGGTAAGCTATTTAATATGCGTCCAATGTTTTTTCTAACTGTTTCATTAGGACCCCATCAAGGTCGAGCGTTATTCTCGTCGTTCTCGTTCTCGCTCCAAATCTCGCAGCAGAACCCCTCCTCGCCGTCGTCGTCGCTCACCTTCTCGCTCTCGTAGCCGTAGTCCTCCTCGTCGTCGTCGTCGCTCTCCCTCTCGTTCTCCCTCTCGCTCTCCCTCTCGTTCTCGCTCTGTCTCTGAGTCTCCTCGTAGAAAGAGAACCAGAAGAGGCGAAACTCCTGAACGCGATGACAGTCGTATTAGAAGACGCAGCAATTCCAAGCCTAGAAGTCGCTCTCGTAGTCCCGCCAAGTCTATGGATGATTCTCCTCCAAGATCCCCTCGTAGCGAAGGAAGGTAATGTATACATGGTTGATATAATGTATTTTAAAAAGTACTCACATGCCATAGTGTTCACGATGACGAGTAAATGATATACAAGGTGCACACAGCTATTTCTGTAAGCCCTTGTTTCTTTAATAGCTATGTCTCTTTTTTCCCTCTCTTTCTTTCTCTTTCTCTTTCTCACTCTATCACTTTCCTTTATCTTCCTCTCTTGTTTCAAGTTTTATTTTTTCTTTCTTTTATAAAACAAATAAAAAAGTACAAATGTCAAATTACTTGAAGCGATTGTAATTGTCTAAAGAGACCAAAAAAAAAAGAAGAAGCAAGGTTCATGTACTCATGCCACACCATTAGTTACCCTCTTCAGTGGCTCAAATTGAGAGGCTCAGCAGTAGCTGTCAATAAAGCGTCTGATGTTGTCTTGCATTCTGCTCCATTAGATCAAGAAAAGGCTGTTGAAGCAGTCAAACGTACATTTCAAGCTATAGATTCCAATTCTCTGACTTTTTCAGTCCATACCAAGAAATCAAGTATTCCCGGAGCAGGTAAACCTTTTTTTTTTAACTTCTCATTATATAAACGTATAGGATTAGGCGTCTATTTGAGTGGACAAAAGCAGACAAGAGGACAAATTGTATGCTTTTATCCAGGAACGATCTATTTACCGTCAGATCCTATTTTGTTTGTAAGCATAGCCAATGAGTATATCTTGAAGTGTGTCGATGGTTTATGTATTGATGGAAAATCAACTGGGTTATCTGGACGGATATATAGATCGGTCTATAAGCGAGAGAACTGGCCTGGAGCAATAGAAATAAGTGACTGCAGCTGGATGAATCAATCAAGGTTTGTTTCAATAGAAATAGAAATAGCGTGTTATTAAGCAGGTTATATTAGAAGAAATAATCCATTGGCGATCGGTCAAATAGTTAACAATCGTACAGGAGCACACAAGGCTAATGGTAACAAAAAAAAAAAAAAAGAAAAATATAATGTTTACAAGTGACATATAGTCTGTTATCAAGAGATAGATTTACCTATCCAATTCCCTTCCGAGTTAAGGAGATATATACCAAATATGTATTGGAATACAATTATCGATCCAATGAGCTATCCTATGCGTGTGGTCGCACTTGTTACACTTGGAGACGTTGAGCCAGGTGAGGAACTCTTTTCAACTTATATGGATCTTGTACATTCTTAAAGTGGAAGGTTGTGTGCAAAAATAAAGAGTATATCTTCTAGTTCTCTCTCTCTATTTTATTATTGGTGATGAGCTTTGTTATCTTTATTTTAGATTAGATCAACATTTGTACCCAAAAAAAAAATGACTCGTGTCCAATAATCAAGAACCCTTGAAGAGTGTCAAGTGATTCGATCAAATATACCCTTCCTTTAAGCGGTATACTTACATGGCTCATTTTAACGCTATAAAAAATCTACAAGATATTGTATCGCGCTGATAGTAAAAAGTTGAGCTTCAAACAAAAAAAAAAGGCAATTTAGTTTACGTGGCATCGTACCTAATTTACTTGGAGGCACCAAAAATTAGTCATTTTTTATAGCAACTGTGTAACGATCATTGATGGAAACTATAGTTACACTAGATAAGCAGAGTGTGTTTTTATTCTCCTTTTTTATTTGTTAATTGACAGTCAATGTGAATTAAATAACCCAAACGAAAATATATATATGTACAAGAAAGATAAAAAAGATTAAAAGGAATAAATAGCTATGATACAAGTCTGTACGGCAAACAGAAGAAGGGGGATATTATAAAGTAAGGTATTTTTCTTGGATACTTGCGTTGTCTTTGGCACTAATGAACCATTTAAAGTATTCGTAAACACTCCAGCTAATGGCCGCGCTAGGCATATGTGTTAATACTCTTGGTTTAAATCCTCTGAAAAATCCGCTAATTCCATATCTTTCCTTAATAATTTGTGCGGCATCTAAAAGTCCAGAGGCATTTCGGATACGAGGGTCGCTGTTTTGTCCACGGGTCTGAAGTAGTGTCTTGACGACGTCTAATGGTGTTGTTATGGAGGATGCGATGGCACCTGCTAAGCAGCCAGCAATGGCATGTGTCTTGGGATCGTACTGGCCTGAGGGATTCAACACCTTGCGGAAATATTCATAGGTAGAGAATTGGATTGATTGAAATGGGATAGACATGGTCAAGGTCGTAGGCAATGAGATGTAAAATGCTTTCAAGCCTTCTTTAGCATACACATGACGAGCACATTCTCTGACAGACATGAAAACACTATCGCCAAGCTGCATACGCTGTTTTACCACATCAAATGGGTTCATAAAGGCATCGTGTACAAGTGTAGCACAAGCACCAGCAGCAGCAGTCATCAGAGGATGGTGTCCTTCTGCATTGCCTCCAAAAAAATCTTTACATGCTTCATAGGTACCAAAATGAAGTGCATGTGCAGGGCCGGCACCCACCACTACCGAGTTGACACCACGCCAAAGGTTACGTGAAGCAGCTTTATAAGATGGAGTACTCATGATAACAGAGCCAGTAGCAGCAGCAAGCATCTGTGGACGAGGGACAGTTTGAATGACTTGCATACGAGTCTAATTGATAAAAGACAGGGTTAATTCATGCTAGATATGCCAGCTGCCTTTATTTGTATGTGTACCTTGATGCTATCAACTGGATACATGGCACAGTGTTCAGCAATGCCAGCAAAAGCACCAGCTAAAGCGTCTTGAGCAAGGGTGGCATTTTGTCCAAGGGACTCATAGTCGTATTCTTCCGTCATTTTATTCCAGAGTGGGGAAAAGTTGTTTTTATTATAGAAAAAGAAAGAAAGAAAATAAAAGGGAAAGAAAAAATATTATGAAAAAGATTTTTTTATAAGGAAAAAAGAATCTGATTACGAAAAAATACGCAAGCCATCTTCTCTGCTGACAACCAATGAAAATTTATCTGATAAAGATATTTGTTTATCCGTACTCCCCCGGAAGAGTAACACAGAAAAATCTGATTATCAAACAAAATTGATTTTACCAATCATTTCAAAAGATAAAATCTGATTAATCAATCATTTGTTTGCTACCAGTTACCCTGTTGCTCATTTTTTTTTGCCTTCCCCACAAACGCAAAAAAAAAGTTCTAAAGCATATCATACCCTTGTTCATCTGATAACTTTGTCAGCAGTTACACATGTTCATGACATTACGTTGTCAACCCTTCCCCCGTGGATTACTGCTTTTAGTTTTTCCTTGTTTTTATATCATCAACTATTTATAGATTCTCAACCACAGCCCTCTTTTATTCTTGTTTATCAAAACGGGCCGAAGCAAAATAAGAAATCTTGTATTTCCATGTTCCCATTCTACTTGTATTTTTTTGTTCTACCTTTTTCGACTGTGACTGTTTGTGACTATTGAGCTGATTTTGTCTGGTTTAAAAAAAAAGAGAGAGAGCAGCACATGAACAGAAACAGTACAGATGAAGCGAGTGATTCATTTCCAGGATCAAGAACCAGAATGGGAATTTAAAGCAAATAATGTAGAAAATAAGAAGAGAAAAAAGGAGAAATTCAATAATGGCGAAAAAAGAAAGAAATTGAGTAATGCTGACTACAAGAAGAAGAAAAAAGAGATGCTTGACTTTAGAAAGCAGCTGCCTATTTACTCAGGTCAGAGATCTAAACTTGATTGCCATAGTTAGTATTAATCTCATTCGTAATATAGGTCGTGAAGCCATCATTAATGCTTTAAAAGAAAATCCTACAGTTATTGTCATGGGAGAAACAGGAAGTGGAAAAACAACTCGTAAGTGACAACAGGTTTATATATGACACTGTATACAAACTGCATTATAAAGAGATACCACAGTTTATAGTGGAAGCAGGCTTAGCATCAAAGGAACTGGGCGCTGTGGCGGTTACTCAACCAAGACGAGTGGCTGCCGTTAACTTGGCCAGACGTGTAGCAGAGGAGACGATGACCAGATTAGGTTCTAAAGTGGGCTATACCGTCCGTTTTGATGATACATCAAGTTCAGAGACGATCATCAAATACCTTACAGATGGTATGCTGCTGCGTGAAATTCTGTCAGACGAACTCTTGCTTCGATACAAGTTTGTGGTTTTGGATGAGGCACATGAACGTACCCTGAGAACGGACATGTTGTTTGGAATGATAAAGAAGATCCAAAGAATACGTGAAGAAAAGCATAAGCGCGGAGAAGCGGGCATAGAACCATTGAAGGTAGTTGTGATGAGTGCTACTTTGGATGCAGAAAAGTTTAGCGAGTTTTTCAATCATGCCAAGATTCTCTATATTTCGGGTCGACTTTATCCGGTGGATACTCTATTTACGACAGAACCACAGGCTGACTACATTGATGCTGCCCTTGTCTCCATCTTCCAGATCCATGTCAACAATCCCAAAGGTGATATTCTTGTATTTTTACCGGGTCAAGAAGCTATCGAAAGTTTAACGGCGCTTGTCAACGATTACGCTTCTCAGTTACGGCCAAACCAACAAAAGCTACTGACTTGCCCTCTCTTTGCTGCACTACCTCCATCACAGCAACAAAAGGTATTTGACCCTGCACCAGAGAATACGCGCAAGGTGGTCTTGGCCACCAATATTGCAGAGACCAGTATCACTATTTCTGGCATAAAGTATGTCATCGACTGTGGATTGGCTAAACTTAGAGGATTCAATCCCAAGATTGGTGTAGAGTCTCTTTTGCTCCATCCCATTTCTAAAAGTTCAGCCTGGCAGAGAACAGGTAGAGCCGGAAGAGAACAGGCTGGTGTTTGTTATAGATTGTATACAGAAGAGACCTTTAGGGAACTAGAAGATGACACTGTGCCCGAAATTAGACGATGTAACTTGGCCGCTGCTGTTTTGGCGTTGAAGGCGTCAGGTATTGAAGACGTCTTGGATTTTGATTACATGGATCGACCTTCAAGAGCGTCTCTTGTGCGTGCGCTAGAAGAACTTTATGCTTTAGGAGCTATTAATGATCAAGGTCAACTATCCGAATTGGGTAAACAGATGGCCGGATTCCCGTTGGATCCCATGTTCTCCAAGGTGCTTATACAGTCAAAAGAGTATGAGTGCACCTTAGAGGCAATTTCGATCATTTCATTGCTGTCGGTAGATTCTATCTTTTTTACACCGTCGGATAAAAGAGAGCAAGCAGCCGAAGCGCGGAAAAAGTTCATACACCCTGACGGCGATCATTTAACACTACTTAATGTACTAAAGTCATATTGGGAAGTCAAAGGGGACATCGAATGGTGCAGAGAGAATTTTATTAATAATCGAAATATGAAGGTGGCTCTGGTAAAGTTGATCAAGCTCTTCTTTCTTTATTTCTCTGACATTGTTTCTTTAGGAAGTACGTGATCAACTTATTCGCTTTTGTGAGCGCATAGATTTGGATCCCAACAGTTCTTGCGGAACAGAAACTGATAATCTATTAAAGTGCTTCATCACAGGCTTCTTTCAAAATACAGCACTTCTTCAACCTGATGGTTCATACAAGAGTGTGACAGGTGGTCAACTGATCAAGATTCATCCTGGCTCGGTCATGTTTGGCAAACGAGTTGAGGGTATATTCTATAATGAACTCGTGTTCACAACAAAGCATTATGTACGAAATGTGTCTGCTATACAATCTGCTTGGTTGCCCTTAGCAGCGCCAAAGTATTTCAATAACATGAAAGCATCTGTATCATAATAAAGCATCCATCTTTAAAAATCTCTAGTTTCTGATGACCACCTTAAAAGGAAGGTGCTTGTCACTGCAAAGAATTTTTTTTTTTATTTTTCTCTCTGTTTCTTTATTTATTTATATAATTGAAGTCAATGCAGAACAATCAGCCTTTACCACCTCATTTATTACAGCAGCAGCAGCAACAACAACAGCAGCAGCAGCAATACTTGCAACAGCAGCAGTTGATTCAACAGCAACGTGGTATGTTTTATCCTCAAGTCGCTTATCCAATGATGGCCAATATAAAACCATCCGACAGAACACATGGTGTATTTTCTACCTATCCAGCGCGTCTAAAGCATTCGAATGATAATGCTTTGCTCTTACCAGAATCATATCTTACGAATAAAAGAACACGCTTTGCTGGTAGTGAATCTGACGATGACTTTTATGTGGATGAAAGCGATGAAGATGAAGAAGGAAATAAAGAAAGAGAAGAAGAAGATAAGAAAAGATCTGTAAATAAGTCAAATCAAAATGGACAAACAAGACCTGATTGGCCCAAGATTACAAGAAAGAAGAATAATTTGTATTATTCAGATTTGGATTTAACCAAGATTTCAGAAATTGAAGAAATACTTGTGCCTGTACGATTAGATATTGATATTGATTCAATTAGACTGAGAGATAGATTCTTGTGGAATATGAATGGTAAGCATATAACTTCCTTTTTTATCTCTTCTCTTTTTTATTCTAAGTTAGATTTTAGAACAATATCTAACACCAGAGAAATTTGCAGAGATGTTATGTGAAGACTTGGAATTGCCACAATATAAATTTGTTCAACCCATTGCTGATTCAATACGCTCTCAAGTCTTGGATTTTGAAAGCGTAAATACAATACAGCTACCAAAAACACATGCACGCGTCTTGATAAAGCTGGATTTACAAATTGGAAAAGTGAATTATAAAGATCAGTTTGAGTGGGACTTGCAGAATGATAATACCAACGCGCCAGAGGTATTTAGTAGACAGCTGGCTGCTGAACTTGGTGTAGGTGGAGAGTATGTGGGTATTATATCGCATGCGATACGCGAACAATTATTTAGACATAAAAAGCAATATGTTGAAGAGGTTTGTATTTTATATGCATACATATAGTCAACTCTGTTTATTAACACATGTGATAAATAGCTCATGATAGAAGGAGAAATCAGATCTGCATTAGATAATGTGTATCGGCCAATGGATGAAACTAAGCATTGGGAGCCACAGATAGAGACATTATCCAATGATGAATTAGAGAAATTATTGATATCACAAGAAAGAAATATAAGGTAAGCTTATTTGATCTCTTTATTCTGCTTTTGCTCATAAATATATTTTAGACGAATGAGAAGAGAAACACGATTCAAGAGGTCGACTCGTCGTATCAGTAATTATTAAACATTTAATCATTATGCACCTAATAATAAAAGAATCAACAGTTACTCCCTATGACAGACTTAATTTCAATTGCATACAAGGTGAAAAGACGGCTATTGCAAAGTGATATTACGTAGTTGATAATGAAGCCACTGCCAGAATAAAACTTGACTGATTGTTTTTATTAAAACCAAAAAAAAGAAGAGAAAGTTCATGCTGCCAGCATCATCTATCAGTCATGAAAGAATAAGGTTCCAAAGATACGGTCGCCAAGCCCTTAAAGCTTGCTGTAAGGGACGCTACTACTTCGGTCTGTTCTCTCTTTTCAAAGTTTTTGAAATATAAGATTAATTCGAAACAAATAAAAAAGGCTATGCTGTCAGGCGCGTTTACTACATGGATTACACAAAAGAGCAATGTCTATGTGTCATTTATATTTCTCACAGACTACAAAGCTACACTGATGACATTATATGTAAATAGCAACCATAGATCTTGTCTTCTATTGTTGAAAATAATTTACAAACAAATGTCTTTATTGCAAAAGTTGTGATCTACTTGCAATTGAGGTATCAACTCTGTCAAAAAGAAATAGAAAACATCTCAAGGGTATAACAATAATAGTTGTATTTTTTTTTTTTCCTTTGCAACAGTAGTGAAGAACATGTAAAGTTGAAAAAACTGTCACTGTACGAAGAGTATTTTTATTCTGTCTGTAACTCTGTTTGTGTATATATATATATTATATGTTTATATATGCAGTTTGTGTATAATCTAATGGTGTTCATCATGGTGATCGTCGCCGTGATGGTCCCAAGGATGTCTCCAACCCTAAAATGATATTAGTATTCTGGTCTTATTTTTAGTAAAATGTGTCAAATGATTACCAAAAGAACAGGTCCGTCTTCTTTAGCACGATACATCATCCAGAACCACATGGCAGCACCTAAGGTTTTACCAACGAAGCGATGAGCGAAGCCTGGGAAATGTGGGTGAAATCCTAATCCTCCAGCAGAACCAGCCATTTATTATTATCAGTTATTGTAAGCTTTTACTAAAAGGAAAAAAAAAAACCTGAACCTCGCTCGTTATTATCGGAGTTGTGCCAGGGATGTTGATGACATGACCATGTTGTATTTCTGAGTTCGCGACTCGGAGATGAAAAGGTCAGTCCGGCAAAGAACCGGAACTGGGTCCTAAAGAAACTGTGGGCAGTGGAAGGAGGGTGGCAATCAACAAAAGCACTCCATAAGCTGGCCGTGCAAAAGGATCTTCCTCTTCCAGCATCAGCCTAAGAAGGTAAAGACCATCAAAAAGATGAAAACATCCATCTATCCACAGTTAAAGAAGATACATCAGATATAACAACCAAATATCATTTCAATACAATCCGCTTTATGACACAAAATAGCAATCGCCCGTCAGTCACCATTGAACATTAATAATTCAACAGAGAGAGATGATATTTTCATTAACTGTGGACAGAGAGGGGGAGAGAAAGAATGAGATTATTAAACTGTTTATCTTTCTTTAGCTTTAGAAATGGTTACTCCTGTCGTAAAGCACAACATTGTGAAGAAGCGTACTGCTCACTTCAAGCGCCACCAATCTGACCGCTTTATGCGTGTTGGTGTATGTATATACTAAAGACAAAATTGCTATGAACAGTCTGTTAATATGATTTTTTTTAGGAATCTTGGAGAAAGCCCAAGGGTATTGATAACGCCATGCGTAGACGTTTCAAGGGTACAGCTCCTATGCCCAAGATCGGTTATGGTTCTGCCAAGAAGACCCGTCACCTCTTGCCTAACGGTTTCCGCAAGTTCACCGTTTCTAACGTCCGTGAACTCAACCTTTTGTTGATGCACAACCGCACTTATGCTGCCGAAATTGCTCACAACGTCTCTTCCAAGAAGCGTGTTGCCATTCTCGAACGTGCTGCTCAACTTAACGTCAAGGTTATCAACGCTGGTGCTCGTCTTAGATCCCAGGAGTAAATTTTAAACCGACATTTTGTATTAAACTTTATTATCCTACAATTTGCCCACAGTTTGTTATCGTGATTATTTCGAGTGGTTGTTCATTTGATACAGACACTGCGTTTATTTGATCCAGCACTTGTTGTCCTTGAGTGACTTGTCCAAAAATTACGTATTTGCCATTGATTTTATCAAATTGAGGGTGCTTATCTCCAAGGGTAATGAAGAACTGTGAGGTATTAGAGTTTTTACCTAGTTGTTATCAGCTTCAACATTGACACATACATTTGCAACATCTTATTTACCTGAATTTGCCATGGCAACTAGTCCCTTTTGATTAAACTTCTTGGCAAGCCCAGGCTTCTCATCATTAAACTTTCCATTGTAAATACTATCACCGCCTGATCCGTCACCTAAAATGTTACAGTGTAAGACAACTGATTCTATCTTTATATCTTATACCTCTTGTAACATCTCCACCCTGCACTATAAAATCAGAAACTAAACGAAACATGCGAGTGTTTTTGTAATAAAGCGGTTTCTTGGAACTCTTGCCCACTTTGCCCCCTTGGCATAGGGCGACAAAGTTTTCACACGTCTTGGGACACTCTTTATCAAATAATTCAATTTCGATTCTACCCCCCTTTAATGGCTCAGGCGCATCAATAAGCCATTTTTCGCTCGTCGCTGTAGGGTCACTTGCGAGAATATCTTTTGCAGTTTCTTTATCTTCTAATGTCAATTGGTCAAGCTCATCAGACACAAAGCCATAAGTTGAACTCCACTGTTTAACCCAGGCTTTGGCTTTCGAGTATCGTCTTGAAGCATCATCATATTTTTCGACATCTCCAATCTTGATTTCAAGAAATACTTTACGCGACATTACAAACTGGAAGCAAATAAAAGAAAAATGCAGACACTTTATTTGAAAGAAAGAAAAAGCCACAAGAAAGCGACATAGAATAATAATGATCATAATGAAGAAGCTTGTATATGAATATGCAAAAAAAAAAGGGACAAGATGAGAAAGTCTACATGTCAACAACGAAAAGGCCTATACATCGTCATCAAGATAGTCTTCATCTCGATAACTCCTCCTATAAGTTGATGTATCTCTCTTTGTTGCAAGGCCAAGTTCTTGAGCAAAGTTTGCATAGTTTCCTTCCAGCAGATGGCCTGGGCCCAAATCAATTCCAGTCTTCTTCTTGGGTCCAGTGAATGGTTCAGGAGTAACCCATTTGGATCGACAATAGACACAAGTGACATTGGCACCCTTTGAAGCAGCCCACATGCCAAAGCATTCCTATGGATAAGGACGTAAATATAGCTGTTATGTAAAACGTTGTTTTGGCTGTATACCTTGTGTATATTATTTCCACACACTTTGCAGAAATCAATTTGGTCAATCTTGCCTTCTTCAAACTCCTCAAAGCAGATAGGACAATCAGAGATGTCCAGTGGGCGGCTAAAGAAAAGGTGGGTTAGGATCCATACAACATGCAATACTGATACTTTTACCGTTTAGCTTCTGGAGTAGATCCATCTTGTGAAATACCATACATTGTATTCATAATTCTTTCCCTAACATCTTCAGGAACTAATATTGAAGGATCAACCTGCCTGCAGAAACTACGTGCATGAATACGTTCTTCTTTTTTTGTATAAAGACTTTGATATAATGGATTATCATAAGGAAGTCGATAGACTTTGAGTAAGACCATCAGTATATGTTTACAGTGTGTACGTCTCAAGGCGTAGTCCATGCAAGTACATTTCATATGAGATGATATAGTAACTGTATAGTTCTATATATAAGCTGGTATTAGATACTATAAAAATCAGGATCAAATCACGTACATTTCCAATGCTTCCAAGGACTTCAAAAACTTCAGTTGATTCATCATCAGGTGAAAGTTGACGCGAAAGAACAAACATGCGTTGTTTCAATGCTCTGGTGACTCTACCTCTCATTGACTATGCATAAAAAAAAGTGAATATCATTTATATGTATAAAAGTTGCTATTTTATACCTCATTCAAGTAAATTTTTGCTTCTGGTGGAAGTTTAGCACGAATTGCCAACCTTTTCTTTTTTTCAGCCTCAACACTAGTCTTTAAAACCTGCATTGCATTTTCATCAAGCACAAAGGAGGCAACTTGTTTTTTTCTTCGTTTGCCTGTGGAAGTACTGGCAGTTGTGTTAGTTGAAACAGTATTACTAGTAGATACTGTTTTCTTTGTTCTTTTGGGTCTTTTTGTTGTTGTTGTTGTCGTCGTCGTCGTTGTAGGCTCTTCAGATAAGTCTATAGGATCTTCTGCAGTCCCCTCATTTTTTTTTTTTGTTCTTTTTGGCATTTGTTGTCTTTATTTAATACAAGTTGAAAAAGAGAAAGAAAGTGTGTTGCATTATGCGTAGTTTCTTTTTTAAAATTTTTTTTCGGAAATCCAAAAAACACAGAGCGACCTTTATGCATCATTGAAGCCTATAGTTTATTTTGTATAGTCAAGCATATACATTCAAGCAGACCGTCTCTTTTTTCTCTCTCTTTCTTTAGTATAGTTGCCAATAAATAGGGAATAAGGATTTGGATATATTATCTGTTCTGATTTTTTCAGTCCTGAAAATGATTCTGACATTGTTACTGTTCCATGTGGACATACATTCCATAAGTATTGGTAAAAAAAAAAAAAAAAAAAGAAAAAAGGGAAATACACATAGAAACAATATTAATCGTATAGTATTGATGCCTGGCTGGAATGCGCTAATCTATGTCCTATATGCAAAAAGTATACGCAAGAATCCGATGTAAGAAAGACATTTTTTGTCAGAAACGAGCCAAGACAATCGCGTTCCATTTGATGATGAAATTACTATAAGAATGATATCAAATTTATCTAAAAATATGGAATCATCAAAGAGCTTTTTAAGCGTAGCATCTGCTCATCTAGCAAATGTTAAAAATGTCATGCGAACAGCGAAAAGAGGTTATGAGGGAATCCAATTGCACAAAGAAACAATGCCAATAAGTTTACAATTACTCATAGGCGACATAGATGATGCTATAAGGAGCTCAGTACAGCCTTTAAGTCAAATAATGTACGCTTTACATGATATGAGAATGATGCGAAAGGAAATAGCTAATTTCATTGCATCTTGTCACAATGAACGCAGACAAGGACATTACTATATGCTTCAAAAATAAATGAGAGACTTGAGTGTATTATCAAAAAAGAGCTAAAATAAAATGTACAGGGCATTTTTATTTGGTAAATAGAGATACTTTATCATGTCGAGGAATTAGACGGATTTTATAGTGAGGAATAGCTAAAGTAGCGCCACGTACATCTCTAACCACATCAACATCAATCAGCTGTTCAGAAACCCTTTCGATCTTGAAACAAGCCAACAGGGCAGAAAGAGCCATGAACAAACTACGCTCGGCAAGATGAATACCAACACATACACGGCGTCCTGTCGAAAAGCTTAGATGAGGTCGATCTTCCACTGACTGGGAAAGTTTACGATCGTCCAAGGTATCCTTAACAAATTGTATATGCCTTTCTGGCTTGAATTGATAAGGATCAGGGTATCGTATGGGGTCATGATGAATAGCAAATAGGTTCATCACGATGATGGTGCCTTTGGGGATATGCCAGCTCTTATAGGTATCATCTGTACTTGTAGCATGAGGGATAGCAACAGGAGCAGGAGGACGCATCCGAAGGGTTTCTAGAATAATACATTGAACAAAAGGCAGCAATGGTTCTGGAGTACGCAACAGTCAGATATACGTATCATTATTTTATACATATTATACATTTACCATCATCTGCCCCAGGGAGTCTATAAAGTCCTATTTGAGACTTTATTTCTTCATAGGCCATTTCTTGAATCTCTGGATGATTTGCCAAGTAGGCAACTGCCCACTCAATAGTAGATCCAGTTGTTTCTGAGCCAGCGCCAACAAAAAGAGCGATGAAATGGATAATTTGAAGGTCTGTCAACTCGCCTTGGTCTATAATATCTTTAACAAAGCACTTTTGACGATTTTCTTGTGTTTTGAACTGTTGAAGAAGAGCATTGTAAAAGCTTTGCACGTCATTACTAATTTCAATATATCTCGTTTTCGTTTTTGGGAGTATCTTTTTGAGAATCGGAAAGAATTCCTTGATTTGATCGCTTGGACTGAGTGCCTTGGCTGCTCTTTCTGTAAGACTGAATATTCTGTGCAATAAGGGATCGCTTGGTTCAAAAAAACACATGTCACCAAAGACAATTGCAAGGATAGATGTTAGAGTATAGTGCTCAATAAAGTAAGATAAACTAATGCCTTCTCCATGCATGTTTTCATTTTCAGTAGAGATGTGGTAAAGGTGAGAAATAAACGATGTTCGACGTTCATCAATAATAGTCTGATAAAGTGTAATCTTGGGCTTGATCAGTCCTAAGTGTGCTATATTGGAGCAAGATTAATCCATAAAAGAGTTTTATGCTTTGTTTTTAATATTTACCTATGCGGCGAAAACTACGCCATTTAGAACCATAAGGCATAAAGGCAAAGGCTCCTCCTTTTTCTATCAATGAAAAAGTAACTTCATTACTATCGCGACTACTTTTGATCCGTTATTACTTTACCTCCTTGAAATAAATCTTCAGTAAGTGCTGTAGGCATTTTTCTAGACGAATAGATTGTTCCGCGACCAACAATCAAATCTTTTATTAGATCACTAGAGTTTAGAACAATCCATCTTTGAGCACCAAAGTAACAAGTGTAAATGGGGCCAACTTCATGACTCCAATTGGAGAATAGTATGTGGATAGGAATAGGTTTGATAAGCTGTAATATATGGCCCAAAATTGGAATGTAACCAGGTGCCTTTGGAGGAAGAAGTTCATTAGTATTTAACTGTTGGTACATTTTCCAAAAGACATAGCCTATGACACTGCTCAAGGTGACTGAGGCAGCCAGATGTAGATGATCTATCAAGAGGGAATACATGAATTAGATCGTAGATGTCTTTTCTTTTTTTCCCTTCGTGTCAAGTGAATTATATATATATTTTCATCCTCTTTTGTTCGCCAAAAAGGGAAAGTCCTTCTGGAAAGCATATCGGACTTGGAAACTAACAAGAGAAGAAGAAGAAAAAAAGCTTTGGTCATCTTCGTTATTGATATGTCATTTTACAAATACCCTTTCCCGAGTTTATTTAAAAGAATCATAAACCAAAAAACATCGCCAGCAAAGCACCTTATCGCCTTACGTGAGTCCAAACAGTATCGTCAAGAAAAACAAGCTGTTGTTGTTCAAGGGCTAAAGACGATCAGAGAACTACGAGATCAAGGTATCAAGATCAACTCATTGATTGTCACAGCCAAGAAAGAACCAAAAGAAGCAGAGGAAGTTAAGTTTCCAGCAAATAGTGTTTTGGAGAATCCAGACAGTTTTCCAGCCGAAAAGTATTACTTGACCGATGTTGATTTAACACGAAGAATTTTGGGTACAGCATCTAGACCAGGCAGACATGAGGTCTATGCTGAAGTAGCTCTTTTACAACACACATTTGAGCCCCAGGAACGAATGCTGGTGCTTGATAAAGTGAATGATCCTGGCAACTTGGGTACAATTGTAAGAACAGCTAAAGGATTAGGATGGAAATCTGGCATCATTACTTCTGGAACTTGTGATCTATATAATGACAAAGCCATTAGAGCGTCGAGAGCAATGTCAATCACTTGGCCACATACAATTGTTTCGATCACTGGTTTATTAGATTTTTTAAAAAAGCACAACATTACGCCTATTGTAGCCGACATGTTACCTAAAGATGACGATAGTCAAAAAGTGTGGTCACCCGACTATGGCCACTCAAACGTAAAGGACGTACAGCCTGGCTCTGGTATCTGGTTTTGGAACTTTCAGGGTGAACAATTGAACATTCCAGAAAAGGTGGCTTTGGTATTAAGCTGTGAACACAATGGAGTTGATGAAGCATTAGATCATGTAACGAGAGTATCTATACCTTTAGCATCCAATGTAGAATCACTCAATGTTGCCTCAGCGGGAAGTATTATTATGGCAGAAATGAATAGGTTGCTGAGGCAACGAGTCCGTACGACATAAAATAATATATAAAACTAAAAATAGACTTGTCAGCTTTACTAAAAATAAAATAAATAACATAGATTGAACATGCCTTGTTCCATTTTCCCTTTCTCTCTCTCTCTCTTTTATTTTATTTTTCCTTTTTCCTCTTCTTTATTTACACATAAACACACATAAACGCATAATTATGGGACGTAGAAAGATTAGAATTGAACCTATCAGAGATGATCGTAACAGACAAGTGACTTTTCTCAAGAGAAAGCAAGGTTTGATGAAGAAGGCATATGAGCTTAGCGTGCTTTGTAACTGTGAAGTTGCCTTGATCATCTTTAATAATCAAAACAACAAGCTTGTTCAATATGCAAGTACTGATATAGACAAGGTGTTGATGCGATATACAGAGGTATGTAATGAATACTATCATGGGTTATTATTTACACTTTACAGTTTGATGAACCTTATGAAAGCAAGAATAATGACGACGTAAGTTCCGTTTTATCTTTTCGGCCATTATTTTCTAATTTGTATATATAGTTTAAAGACAAGGATGATGAAGATGAGGATGATGGTGCCTCTGTTCATGAGCGTGAAACTAACAAACACATACCAAGTCCTGTTCAGACTGAAGATAGTCTTGAATTATCAAACGATTTAAAAATGTCCCAAAAGCAGACATCAAGAAATAGCTCACATGGTGATTTATATACCGTAAGTATACACATAAAGAAACCGACAAATAAATAGAAATTAACATCTTTTTATATGTAGACCTCTTCCCAAGCCGCTTCATCTCTTCTTCAGCATTCTTACCCTTCACCTCCACCACCTGTTACTACTCAAATTGATGATCCATACTTTACCTACAGAGCTGATACTCAACAAGCTCAGTATAGCGAACGATATAATTTGATAGAAAAACGACCACATCTTCGAGTACAAATACCAAATGAATCCAAGTCACTTGATCCAACCACGGATAAGCAAGCACTACCGGTAACTATATAAAAAAGCAAGATATTTATAGTAATTCAAATGGAGACTAACCGAGAGATGATATTTTTTTTATTAGGCTTTGAACAAAAATAACAATTCATCTCGATTCGCACAAAACCTTCCTTCTCCTTCGACATTCTATCCTGAATTCTACAAACAAGGCGAACTACTCAGTCCACTTAACTTTTCTAATACACCTTCTTCTGCTTATAATACCTTTCAATGGCCAACAAGTGCCAAAGAATACCGACCTTCTCCATTAAGTAATTTTACGTAAGTAACAAGAGGTATATATTAAGCCATGAAACTAATGTCAATTGCTTAGTTTTTCAGAAAAGCGATCACTACCGACATATGATGATTCTTCATCCAAAAGACAAAAACTAGAAGCACCAACTATTTTGTAGGATCTCTTTCATTTGTGTACATTTGCATTTTTTCTTTCTTTTTTAATATCATTAAAACTAGCTTTAATACCGATTCTCCCTTTTTTAATTATGAAAGAATACATTTAAAGAGTGACAGACAGCGCGCAGTAGATAACAAAAAAAAAGACGATGGCCTCGGATCAACCCTTATCATGTGAAACAAATGGCATTAACCCGGGTTATTTATAAGCTTCTTCTACAAAATACAGTACTGCTTTTAATTGAATTATACAATGGTTTTATATATCTGTGTGTGCGTTTGCGTGTGTGTGTATGAGTGTGTGTGTGTCTTGGCTGTAAGTGTGTATTTATTATAAAATTACCAAAAAATTTTTTACATTTTCTTTCCAGTTTTTGTATTTCCAATAAGAGATTTATGAATATGAGGAAGGACACCACCACCTGCAATAGTGGCCTTTATAAGAGCGTCAAGTTCTTCATCTCCACGAATGGCCAATTGTAAATGTCTAGGTGTGATTCTCTTTACTTTAAGATCCTTTGTGGCGTTTCCTGCTAATTCAAGTACTTCAGCTGTAAGATATTCAAGAATAGCTGCTGTATATACTGCGGCTTTAGCTCCAACGCGTGAATGGTTATGTCCTTTTGCTTTCAAATAACGATGAATACGACCTACAGGAAACTAATACAACCTTAGTTTGCAAGTATACACATTTTTGTTGCCTTTTTTACTTGAAGTCCAGAACGAGCAGACTGGGACAAGGTAGGAACTCTGTCTCTACGGTCACCCTTCTTATTGTCAGATACACTATCAGCCTACTATTTGCTTAGTATTTCTATTTTTCTTGTTCTTTCTTGTTTTACCATTGATTCTTTTTTTAAAAAAAGTTGAAAAGTGAGAAAGAAAGAGAGGATACGCGAAAATCTAATCGGGAGTTTAATAAAAGAAAATTTTCATTGGAGGAATTCTATTTGGTTACTAAATAGGGTTGATGATATCATTTTACACTTCTTTTCTTTTTTTCCTTATTTCTTTATTCATAATTTGTGTGTGTATACTTGTTTATAGAAAGGAACCAAAGAAAAAAACATGGCAAAGGTATTAATTAAATAAAAAACACTTGACCTTATCTTCTCATTTACTTTTTACTATAGAAACTACTAGGGAAAAAGACGGGAGAAAAGATAAAGGCTAATCGTCCTGCAAGGGCAGATTGGAAGGAAGGCGTCAAGAAGAAACAAGTTGGTGTTTCTGATATGACCTTGCTTACAAAAATAACAAACGAAGCAATTAATGAAAATTTACAAAAGAGATGGCAAAATGCCGAGATTTATGTAAGTTCTGTTCTCTATATTACAACAACGACAACTAATATGATAAATAGACCTATATTGGCCATGTGTTGATCAGTGTAAACCCTTTTAGAGACTTGGGTATCTATACAGACGACGTTTTGAATAGCTATAAAGGAAAGAATCTCCTAGAGGTAGATAAAAATACAATCTCGTGCTTAAAGTAGTGGACCTGATTATTTACTATATTTAGATGCCCCCTCATGTTTTCGCTATTGCTGAATCTGCCTATCACCATATGAATAGCTATAAAGAAAACCAATGTATCATCATTAGGTAAATTATACTAGATTATATCAGAAGCGATATCTGATGAAAAAGATACTAGTGGTGAATCAGGTGCGGGAAAAACAGAAGCTGCCAAGAGAATTATGCAATATATCGCCGCTGTCTCCGGAGATGGTCATAATTCTTCTATTAAAGAAATTAAGGAAATGGTTTTGGCTACAAATCCATTGTTGGAAAGTTTTGGTTGCGCAAAGACATTAAGAAATGATAATTCTAGTCGTCATGTAAGCTTACTCAAAAAAATAAGAAAAAGGAATGTCTTCAGTAACAAAAGTAGGGTAAATATTTAGAAATTCAATTTAATACTCAAGGTGAACCAGTGGGTGCGATCATTACAAATTATTTACTGGAAAAGGTATATGAATAGATAAAGAGAACAAATCTAACTTTGATGTAGAACCGTGTTGTTGGTCAAATAGAAAATGAAAGAAACTTTCATATATTTTATCAGTTAACCAAAGCAGCTCCCTCTGACTATCAACAAACATTTGGTATTCAGGGACCTGAAAGTTTCCTTTACACCAGCAAGAGTAACTGCTTGGATGTTCCTGGTATCGATGATGTCCAGGATTTTCAAGCCACTTTGGTAAATCGATCTTATACAATACATAGTAGATGTGACTAATAGCTTATAGAATGCAATGAGCATCATTGGATTACAAAAAGAAGAACAAGATGGGATATTCAAGATCTTAGCTATCATCCTTTGGTTGGGTAATGTTGTTTTCGTAGAGGATGATAATGGAAATGCAGCTATCTCAGATATGGATGTGGCAAACTTTATTGCTTATTTGATGGAAGTAGATAGTGAAGCATTGGCAAAGGCCTTAACGAGTCGTGTCATGGAAACACAAAGAGGGGGTAGAAGAGGAAGTGTATACGAGGTACCATTGAACATTGTACAAGCGACAGCTGTTCGTGATGCACTCTCCAAAGCCTTATACGAGAGATTGTTCGAGTGGATCGTTACTCGTGTCAACGTGTCATTGCAAGCAAGAAGCGCTCATCAGTATACTATTGGAGTCTTGGATATTTACGGTTTTGAAATTTTTGAAGAAAACAGCTTTGAACAAATGTGTATCAACTACGTCAACGAAAAGTTACAGCAAATCTTTATTGAACTCACATTAAAAGCTGAACAAGAGGAATATGTGCGTGAACAGATTCAGTGGACACCCATCAAGTTCTTCAACAATAAAATTGTGTGTGATCTGATTGAAGAAAAGCGACCACCAGGAATTTTTGCTGCCCTGAACGATGCCTGTGCAACTGCTCATGCTGATTCTGGTGCAGCCGATAACTCATTTGTTCAACGTCTTGGCTTTTTATCATCCAATCCACACTTTGAATCCAGAGGATCCAAGTTCTTAATTCGTCATTATGCTGGTGATGTGCTTTACAATGTGGAAGGAATGACCGATAAAAACAAGGATTCACTTTTGAAGGACTTGTTGAACTTGGCTACCGGATCCACTGATCAGTTCATCTCACATACGCTCTTCCCCGAACGCATCGATCCTAACTCAAAGAAGAGGCCTCCAACAGCAGGCGACAAGATTAAACTTTCATGTAATACCCTGGTCACCAAATTGATGCAATGTCACCCAAGTTATATTCGTACGATCAAGCCAAATGACAACCGTAGCTCATCAGAGTACGATGATAAACGAGTTCTTCATCAGATTCAGTATCTCGGTCTATGTGAAAATATTCGAGTGAGAAGAGCTGGTTTTGCGTATAGAACTGTAAGTTGAACTAGTTTCAAAAGATAACACTAACTTTTTCATAAAAAGACCTTCGAAAAGTTTGTGGAGCGATTTTACTTGTTATGTCCGACAACAGGTTATGCAGGCGAATACATTTGGAATAGAGACGCTAGAAGCGGCTGTTTAGAAATCTTGAAGCACAACAATATTCCTGCTGAAGAATGGCAGTTGGGTACAACTAAGGTGTTCATTAGACATCCAGAAACTGTATGTAGTGACACGTACATAAAAGAACAGATTCATAACCATAATTCTAGATTTTTGCTCTGGAGAACCTTCGTGATAAGTATTGGCACAACATGGCTACACGTATTCAGCGTGCTTGGAGAGCCTACGTACGATACAAGATTGAGTGTGCAAAGAAGATTCAACGTTTCTGGAGACAGAACAAGTATAATATCGGATATCTTCAAATGAGAGAATATGGTCATCAGATTTTAGGTGGACAGAAAGAGAGACGTCGATATTCCCTTGTCAGCATGAGACGATTCACTGGAGATTACCTCGATATTCAGTCAGGCTCAGGATTATCCACCATGATCAGAGATGCAATTGCTTTCAAGCCAAATGAACAAGTTGTCTTTAGTATGCGAGGCAACACGCTTGTGCCAAGAGCAATGCGATCAAGTGTTCCCAGTCCTAGAACAATTGTCCTTGTAGGTTTAGAAATAATCTACTTTTAAAAGAACAAAAATAGGATTTACACCACTTTCTTATGTAGACAAATCAAAACCTGCATGTCATCATCGCAACAAAGAACGGAAAGGTGCTGTCTATGGTTGATGAAAAGATTGTGTCCTTAAACGTGATCAACAGCATCAGTGTGTCTACCCTTCAGGACGACTGGGTGATTTTACATATTGACTCCTCTCCTGACGGAGATCTTATTTTACAATGTGCCTTCAAGACAGAATTGTTGGCTCATATATGTCAACAGACAGGAGGACGTGTAAAAGTATCTGTACTTGCCCAAATTCCATACAAGAAAAAGGGCGGAAAGTCTGTCACGATGAAATTTGTCAAGGACGAGTCTGCTAAAGGAGATGGTGTTTACAAGAGTCATGTTGTTAAGATATGCTCTGGTGAACCGCCTTCAAGCCGTAAGTATATAAAGAAATATCAGTATGTCTTATTGACCCCCATCAATAGAATCTGCTCCTCCTTGTGCTGTTAAACAAACAACCACAAAGAAAGCAGTCACTGCACCCAAGAAGATAAACAACACACCTAGACCAGCTGCTCATCATCCTATTGCAGCAAATACGAGCAGCATTCGTTCTGCACCCCCACCACCACCTCCTCCTACTGCTTCAGTTGCAGCCCCTGCTCCTCCCGCACCTCCCGCACCCCCTACTACACCCAGTTTACCTCAATACAAAGCCATATATCCCTTCAAATCAGAAGAACAAGGAGAGATTGCTTTTGAAAAGGGCGATCTATTGGAAATAGTAGAAAAAGATGAAAATGGTAAGCGCTTAAAAAACTACCTACTATAGTAGCTTATCAATTTCGTTCTTAGGTTGGTGGTTGGCTAAAAAAGATGGCATCGAAGGTTGGGTTCCAAGCAATTATCTCGAAGAATACGTTGCACCTAAAGCCGCTTCTCCTCCCCCACCACCACCAGCAAGACGGGCAGCACCTCTTCCACCTAAGGCAATTAATAACAACAACAATACAGTATCGACGCCTGCGCCCATACCAAGCACAAATGGTGTTCCTGCTTGGAAAGCAGAATTGGAAGCGCGTAAAGCAAACGCGCCTGTGCCCGCGACTAGACGCGCGCCTCCTGCACCTGGACCAAAACCTGCTGTTCCCGTTAAACCTAGCACTATGAATAAGCCTGTTGTCCCAGCACGTCCAGGCGGCGTGCCCACTCCCGCACCACGCGCTCCTCCTCGTCCTGGAGCTGCAGGAGCCGCGCCTTCTAGTGCTGCTGCTTCTTTAGCTGATGCTGTAGGTCGATTCATGTACATTAATATACATCTTACTAATTTTATATTCAATAGCTTCGTGCACGTAGAAATCAAGCAACAGCAACTCATCATGATGAAGACGATGATGATGATTGGTAGATACAAAACAATAAAATGACTATTTAATTTATTTATGCGTAAAAATTTACTCTACATACTATTGTTGCTGTTATCGCGCCTGTTGCTTTAACTCTTCTATCTCCTTTTTTAGCTCTTGAAGCTCTTTTTCTTTTTGAATAACTTTGTTTGTAGACGTCTTTCATACACAGGATATGAGAAAAGACGTTATTTTTCTTTTTTCCTTTTTCTTACCTTTAAGGCTCTCATGGATTCGCTGTAAATAGTGTTGTAATGATTGAGAACAAGTTCAGGGGACAAAGCAGGCGCCAGTAGATCGTTGCTTTTTAATAGTGTTAAATGCTTATGCTCACACCTTGTATGATTTTTTTATTACCTTGCTGAATAGACAAAGGGAACATTAGACATGAAGCGTCTAAATTCCAAAGTGCTTCCACACATGTTTGCAATTTCCAGTGGTAGTTTAGCAGCGTAGTTTCTCATATCCCAGAATGCAAACTCATAGGTGTGCGTTGCTTTATCGAGTAATGATGAGGAAATGATAGCCATACATCCATGTTTAATATATTCAGAAAATGACTTCATCCACAGCTGATCCCTTACAGAAAGTTCTACATCAGTCTGCCTCCTAAACTTGAAATAACCCACACATGTTGAAAGATCGATTTGTTTGATGCAGCTACCATACATATCGTACGGGATATCCTTTACAATTTCATATCCATGAATGACTAGATCATATAGTTTGGTTAATATGAGCCAGATACTAAATATAAAAGCGTATTGTTAAAAGTATTACTTATAAAGTCTTCTCTATGTTCATAAGCCTGATCTGTATTGTCATCATTAGCCATGGTTACTCTTGAAGACAATGTTCCTGAGAGGTACCCTTCCTATATTTATACATATATATGTGTGTATATATGTGTATGTGTCAAATAGTCTGTCGGTTGATTAAACAGAGATAATTACAATATCAGTTTGTGAATTTGCACATTCGTACAGTAATGAGGATAAAAGTGTTCCATTTATGCGAACTGTGTATGCCATACAAAAGAAGACTAATTAAACAAGAATAAATTTAAAAAGCCTATAGGTGCGGAGTCCGTAAACCAAAGTCACCCTAACCTGTTTAAACAGTCAGGAGAAACTGAAAAACATCCTTATAGGGACGAAGAGACAAAGGTCTAAACGATGCGATCAATGGTGAAACGGTTTTTTTTATTCCTCTCGCCTGTATCTGGAAATCTCACTGAGAGCGAATGTTTCGTAGGATAGAGTCCTCCTCCTGCTAAAGTGCTATGGCAAATTCGAATAGATGACTAGGCACATTGCTATGTTTGAATGATGTAGACTAGTTTTTCGCTCTATATGTTTTATTTTGCGAATATATTTTATGTAATTTAAAACTAAAACATCAATGTGATATCAGAACTATAAAGTAATCAAAGAAACATAAAGCCCAAATTCTTTCTATTACATTGCATGTTAGTTCAAGACGAAGATGATGTGTTTAATGCAACATGTGTATTATTTTACAAGAATAAATGCTGTCAGCATCTAGTGAATTGTATTATATGACGCATCATCAGCTACTGCAGGCTATAGATACCATGAATCAGCCTTAAGGGCTTAATATAAAGTATTATGTTAATATTTAAGATGACTTTGGCTTAAGTATGAAATATATATATATTGATAATATTACATCAAATGGTGTAATCTTCTTTAACATAAACGTAGAAATACGACAAAAGGATGGGATTTCTACAGGAGATCAGCCTCTAGTGTTTCAAATACGTATATACAGATATTTTGATAGAGATGCAGAATCACAACCTTTTATTGTAAGTTAAATGATCAACAGGAGAAAGTGAGTTTTAGTGTTCGGTTCTTGCGAACACAGTAAAGATTATATATTGCTTTAGTATGTTCTCTAGATGCCAGATGTTCATATAAAGCACTCAATTTTCTCGACGATATCGCTGGATTAGTTGACGTAGTGTAGTTCGAATTTCTTGACGCATGCTGAGTCCATATGCCTTTCTCCATTTTTGTAGTAAGACTCTCAATAGTCGTAAGATTTTTGTATTTTGTCAGTCCAGAGGCCACGCAATGGATCTCCAGGATGTAAAATTCTACCACAAATGTCATCCAATGACGTGTATATCATCTGACAAACGCCGGTGCTGGATGTTTTCTATATAATTAACAGCGAAAATTCTGCTAATTGCTCTTGTAAGGATATTCTTCACGGTAAAATAGTAAAGACTGGAATAGCTCCCGAATGCAACGAAGGTATATCTCATGATTGCTGGGGGCTCTTGAGTATCCCTAGGCTCCAGGTAACCTGAGAGTGCCTTGAAAGCTGTAAGATACTAACATCAGATCACCTCTGAAGTCTGCTGAGTGCTTCCCTACAAGTGATCCTAGTTTAGGTGGTATTCTTCCTAAGGAGTCCGCTAAAGGTTTAGCCTGTTGCTATCAATTTCAATTACTGATGGTTGTTTTACATCCAATAAGTCATTTAATCGTTATATTGTAAAATTTCATGTGTTATTAAATACTTGCTAACTGAAATTTTACTATGCACATGAGCTCCTTTTTTTACACGAGGACTCTTTTTTTCTATTTACATGTGCTCTTATTTTATTAATTCAAATTTGCCTATTATGGCCAATATTTAATACTCTTTCATAACGTCATTGTATTTATTAATTCAGGGCATTATCATATACAGAACGACATGATATACCATCTGTATAGTCCAGACTCTTTTCAGGGTCACATGAACATTTGGCAGCATATTCAGGCTTTGATGGACAATGAGTATAAGCCGTATGTCTATAACCAATATCATCAAAAAAGTGAATTTCATCCTTTCGAAGCATTAATGAAGCAGCAATCGAATGTACAGGCGCATCACCCCATCTTTCGTAAAAGAAGCCTCCTGCTCGATCAAGATAACCAAATAGTTTTAGATAGTCGTTCGATCTCCATAAATCAAGTGACGCAATTTCAAAGTTTGTCCAAAAATGACAGCCGTTATAAGATTGTCCATCATCATCCGTAACGAACTTGGCGAGTGAGTCTTTCTTTGATGGCCAATGTGATACCACTTCAGGGTATTCTTTTTTAAAATTCATGACTGTTTGCCATAGCGAAGGTACTGTCTGAATAAACTCTCTAAATGCAATATTAAATCCTAATAAGATATCTTAGCATACACAGACACACATGTTTTATTATGTTCTTTCTTTACCATATTTCTTGTTGTTGTCTCTCATAAACTTGAATACGTCATAATCAATATCACAATAATAGTCTACATCAGGTTCAATACGCCAGTAATAATCAAATTCATCTAGTAATGGATGTCTAAAGAAGAAGCCGCTTTGAAATCTATGTAATACTGACTTTAGCATAATCCTCTTCCTGATTGAATTCGATATGATATAAAATACCTGCACATATGTCTATAAGATTCACTGCTTGCATAAGGTATCTGTTGCTTTGCTAGCTCTTCTCTGCACTCAGCAGCATAAGTAGTGTTGATAAAGGATGGATAGCCCCACATATGACCATCAACTTTACCATATCTTGTTGTGGCTTTAGTTAAAGCCGTTGTTGTCTCAATAAACTCGGGCGTAAAGTCAGCATCGTTTAAAAAGATGTAAGGGTAGTTGAACTTGCTATTAAAGCGCTGCTCGACTTGTTTGATTGTAGATGTTATTCCAGCTAGTTCTTCATTACGTACCAACACCACAAAACATGCTCTCATTTTGTCATTACTACTATGAGTACTATGTTCTACTGCTTTAGTGATCCCGGACTGAGGTCGTTCTTTATAGACAGAATATAGTGTTTGGAAGGAGAAAAATACAAGTATGACTCCACATACTGTAAAGATATATGGCACCAATCTTGTATATTTCATCTTTAGCAGAGAAAAAAAAAAAAAGGATGATCTATTTTTAAACCCATAAAATTAAGGCGCAATGCAAAATGGCAGATGTGTTTTAGTCTGACGTTAATTTTATAAAGTCGTTTACGTAAAAAGACGACAAAGAAAAATATGTTTGAATAAAACGAATCATGTCAAAAGAGAGAGAGATAATGAGTATATGTAGAAAAAGAGAGAAAAAGTATGCTAGTATTAGAGCATACATCCTAATATTAGTTTTACTTGACACCAAGGTGCATTCTGGAGAGAGTAGCGATAACTATCCAGGATTGTTTAAACAAAAAGGAACGGAGGACTGAGAACCCAGAGCGTCAGAAGAAACTATTGGGGAACGTTCCAGATACACGCCAGAGAGCAAAGAAGGCGAGACAAGCGAGTCAGAGCAAGGACCATGAGGACAGGCTAGTTTTGATTGGTGAATCTTTGAACACTCAGAGGGACATTTGATAACTGCTGCAAAGAAGCAACAAAAGGACTCAATTAATGTGAGTTTTTATACTTTCAAATAGGAGCAATCTACTTCATGATCATTCAAGAATATATATTACCAAATATAACTACATGTTCTGATTTCATGGAAGAACCGAATAAAGAATTTAAACTTTTACAAAGAGACTAAAGAGGGTTATTCTAATATTAAGTTAATTTCAACTCCAAGACAGCCCACCTGTTAATAATACTGTCAAATGGGATAGTGAGCCATATTCTTTTTGTATTTGCTATTACTCTGATAACGTTACAACGGTTTCAATACGACATCTCAATTTGGAAATACAGTATCTCCATGGATGTCAAGTCTGATACTACGAAAATATTCTTGGCGACGATGAATTTACATTTCGTACAGGATGAATTTTGTTCTCACCACTGGGTGCATTTATTTTCGACCACAGGCGAATTTACTTTCCGGAAAGAGTGTATAACTAAAGTTCATAAACACATTAAGGATGGATCGCATTAAAAGGTGTATAGCTAAATGCTATGTAATATTATTTCGGAAAAGAACCGCCGATCAGAAGATGACAGAAAGCAGAGTTTTGTAATTGACGTAATTTGAGTCCATTATGGGTATAATGATAAAATATCTTATTTCTTGTAGAACAACTCCCATTTTTCTTTATTCCCATAATCAATTCAACAATAGACTTTGGAAGCTCCTTTTTACTACTCTTATATAACAGTTATATCAAACAAAGCATAAAGACAGGAGAGAAACAAAAAGAGATGTCACAACTTGCATTACATGATGATACACAGTAGTAATACCTGGAGTAACGACTTATGCAAAATAAATGGAATGTTGGGAATATTCTTGGTCACTATGAGTGGCATACATACATAAGCATGAAGAGGAGTATAAAGATACCATCTAAAGATGGGGCTCCCCTGACAGAACTGTAAATTGTAGATCTAACTAAAATTATGGTTGTTCATGTGACCTGACTTGCTGCTTTCCCGACTGTAGGTTATCAAAATAAACTTTAAAGGAGAACATCATTCTTTTAATAGAACATCCCTGTCTGGTTACACTTATTACAACATATGGATTTAGCCGGCGCCATTTGTCATGAATAACAACTTACTCTGAAAGTACATTTGTATACGGTGCGGCTGGAAAATTTTGTCTGTTTTGAAAAGATAAATGGCGGTTTTCTAAAACAAATGGCTCTAACTCGAAAATGATTGATTCCTGTCTAGACCACACGCCATCAGTTGCTCAAATACGCATTGCCGTCTCTGTATGCCTGACCCTACACAGTCGGGGTTACTAATGCTTCGTTCACTCGAAAAATAAAGCAATATTTCCTTCAAGTTGTTTTTTTTTCTTCATACATAACAAGAAGTGAAAAAAAAAAAAAATGAAATTGAGCGCTACATTTTAGTTAAAGCAGCTTTGTTTCAGCCGACATTTCGACCATGATTGACATGAAGCGTACAACTGTGAAAGCTGCTACCAATAGAGTGGCTTCCACTGGCACAGCTTTGGCAGAAAAGAACACAGGCAGACTCTCTGCCTTCGACGAGTACACTTGAAGGCAATTGGAACGGGTAATCAGAAGAGATCTGTTCCAAACGATTGACACCCTTAGAAGCAAACTCTGTCTAGTGGACAAAGCTGTTTGTCGCTCCACTATGAAGAAATGGATAAGGCAGTTGGACTTCAAGAACCATTCTCCAGCAAGCAAACCCAAGTTGACTGAGAAGCAAAAGAAAAAACGTCTTGACTGGGCCAAAAGTCATGTTCACTGAACCGATGATCACTGGAGACAAGTGATCTGGTCTGACGAATCAAGTTTTTTGAGTGTTTGGCAATGATGGTAAGCCAAAAGCCTTGAGGAAACAAGGTGAACGTTACGAGAGCCGCCACCTTTTGATGACTGTTAAGTTTGGTAGAGGAAGCGTGATGATTTGGTCTTGCTTTTGGGCTGGGGGAATATGGCCCGTTAATTTTTATTGACAGCAATATGAACCAAGATTTGTATGTCGACTGTTTGTTGCAAAATCTTCTCACCTGGTACAATGAATTGCCTAGTTCTGAAGACCAAAAGTACATCTTCCAGGAGGATAATGCGCCTTGTCATACAGACTAGCTATTCGCTTGTGCTCTTTTGTTTTTAGAAAAGAATTCATGGTTTTTCCCCCCCCCCCAATCTGAAAAAGAATATACTGATAGCCCTGTAAAGTCTCAAATGTATGTCCACTATTTGCAAATAATGCTAAAGCAAAAGCGTATCTCTGAGAGACTAGATGACAGTGTGAAAAGCAAAGTTCTAGATCTGGTAGGAATGATGCATATACAACCACAACAAAGCGGTTACAAAAAAACTATCAGTACATCATTAGAAAAGCTTCAACTTTTACCTTTTCGAAAAATGAAGTTTGCAAGCAAACTCTTTTTTGAACAGAATGATCAAAAGTTGGTGTGTAGCTTAAAAGCAAAGTTTGGTCATGATACTATCCTGATTTTTAGAGACTGATACGCGCCTAATATCAAGTATCACGAACCAACAAGAAGTATGAGGCTCATAAGTATGCTAAAGAAGAATCGTTTTTCTATCTATTTGATCAATGAATACAAGACATCTTCATATTATCTAACATGTGAAAACGAACTAGAAACTTTCAAAACCGTGCCCAGCCTTCACCCTTTCCAAAGAAACAAGAATTCAAACATAGTATGTCATGGCTTATTGGGATACTTCAAAGAATAAGACATTAAATTGATTCCTGATAACCAATGCAGTACTAGATGCAAGAACCTTTCTTGTCTTAAGCAACAAACCGCAGAAATAAAAAGAAGACTCTGGAACCGCGATCAAGCAGCCGTATTAAACATTCTCAAGCTCTTAAATAGTTTGAGAGAGACTAAAAAACGCCCATGCCTTTTCACTAAATATCCTACAAACTAATTATCTTTTGAAATAATGCGAAAAAAAAATTGTCGGTCAGAGCTATCGCTTTGGCCATTTAATACAGGTATTACATGGAGACGACATTGTAAAGAACCGTTTTTGCATAAAAAATAGAGAAAACTATTTCAAAGCCACTAAAGCCAAAATGTTACTAGCATTTTTATTGCTCTTTTTTTTTGGACATGCTGCACTTTAGGCCCATTTATGTGAGATGTCTAAACTCAAGGTCATTTTCTGTTTCTCTACCGTTAAGGAAAAGGGTTTCGAAAATGAAACTAAGCGAACTTGTCCAAAAGGGCGACTTATCAGCCAAATCACTTGATAAAAAGGAAATATCAACAGGCTCTATTGTACTTGATACCGTCCGAGAGTATACGAAAAAATATCCATTATGTGTCTTGCTTGTTCAAGTAGGAGATTTTTATGAGGTGAGCTTTTATAAAAAAAAAAAGGGAAGAGAGAGGGCAGTGCGTATTATTGTCTCTAAACGTTAAATAAGCTGTATGAGTCGCATGCTACTCGATATGCTCCTCAACTTGACTTAAAGTTGACAAGAAAGGCCATCACAGCAAATACTGTTGTTGATTTTGCTGGATTTCCTTTACGATCTTTGGATAGATATCTTGATATCCTTGTCAATCGCCTACAATGCCGAGTCGCACTTTGTGAACAACTGGGGGCCGCTTCTAGAGACGACCGTTCAATTATGGGGATGCATCGGCGCATCACTCGTATCATCACGCCTGGTACTGTTATCGAAGAAAGATTTTTAGAAGCCAATCAGTACAACTATCTATTATCCATCTTTCCTTCTACTCAAGACAAACTTGGATTGGCGTGGGTTGATATATCGGTTGGAGAATTTGTCATGCAAGAAACGACACAAGATGCACTCAAGGATGACCTTGCGAGAATTAGACCCAGAGAAGTAGTTTTACCTGAATCTCTAAAGCCTTCTGACGAGGTGTTACAGCAGGGCCTGTTTGATCTTGATGTATATGATCCAGTGACGAGACTGCTAGTGAGCGACCCAAGCATCACAGTGAGCTATCAAATGGACGATCACTTTAACGCATCTGCTGGCTTTAAAGCCTTTCAGGCATTGTTTACCAAGTTTGCAGAGATATCTGATTTTGGACAGCTTGAACTGGGAGCAGCGATGGCACTGATGGCCTATGTTAGTGAAACGCATGTTGACAAGACGATTAAATGGCAGATGCCAACGCGGTTCAGTATACACGACACGGTACGAATAGACAGCGCAGCTATGAGTTCACTCGAACTTGTCAAGACGCTACAAGGAAGGAGAAATGATAGCCTGCTGAGTATTCTCGACTGTACCTGCACTAGCGCAGGATCACGTCTGCTCAATCGCTGGATTTCTTCTCCATTGACGAACGTGAATGAGATCAAAAAGAGGCTTGATGTGGTAGAATATTTTTCACAAGATTCCTTTTTGCTGCAGGATGTGCGTCACTTGCTTCGACAAAGTACAGATGCCCAACGAGCACTTCAGCGACTTGCTCTGAAGCGAGGACAACATTCGGATGTATTTGAAGTATGGTCTGCACTGGACATAATAAAAAATATCACAGGGAAATTAAAGAATGCAGAAACACCTGCTCTGCGAGAGCTAGTAGAATCTATGGATCCACATATGACTATATCACAGCACATTCAGGACGCATTTGATTATGAAAAAATTCAGTCAAAGGAAATTAAGGAATATGGCTTTGTCAACCATGCGTTTCATCCAGAACTAGCCCAGCTTCACAATGAAATAATCGAATTGGAGCAGCAACGTGCCAATCTTCAGAACGACCTTCGTGAGTTGTGCGGCAACTCGGTCACTTTGCAATCAGATGGGCTGTTTAGGCATATTGTGGAAGTAAGCACGCGGCAGTCAGCTCATCTCCTTCAGCGATTTCCACAAGCCCAATTGGTAAGCAGCACTAAAAGCAAGAACAGGTATCAAATCGAGGCCTGGTCAGATATTTCGATACGACTGAGCACAATTCAATCGCGAATTATTGAAATTGAAAACCAAGTGTTTGATCAGGTGGTTGATAGACTTTTAGACCACAGCACAACTATCCTACACAGCTGCAGGATACTGGCCCAACTCGATGTCTTGACCTCATTTTCTCACCTTGCTCTTGAGCGACAATATGTGCGGCCCCGAGTGACCAAGACAAGTCGCACGATGATCATTGGCGGTAGACACCCCGTGGTCGAAGCTAACCTGGCAAAGAAAGGTATCTCGTTTGTAGCAAATGACTGCATCCTAGATCGTGATGAGCGTATCTGGCTCTTGACAGGGCCAAACATGGGTGGTAAGAGTACTTTCTTGCGGCAATACGCCATCATTGTCCTCATGGCGCACATCGGATGCTTTGTCCCGGCGGACCGTGCATGGATTGGCGTGACCGACAGAATCTTTAGCAGAGTAGGTGCCGCCGACAATCTTGCGCAAAACCAGTCGACGTTCATGGTGGAGATGAGTGAAGTGTCAACAATCCTGAAGCTTGCAACAGAAAAATCAACCGTCATTATGGACGAGGTTGGCAGAGGCACGTCAACAGTAGAAGGTTTTTCACTGGCACTCGGCATTCTAGATTATCTGCATAACTCAATCAAGTGCCGAACACTGTATGCAACACACTATCATGAGCTGGCCGATGCCGTCAAAGAATATGAGCACATCAAGTGTTACATGACCAACATAGAAGAAGACCATTTGGGCCGTTTTCGGTTTGTGCACAAGGTGCAGCCTGGAGTCTGTCGTCAGTCGCACGGTTTGAAAGTAGCCCAACTGGCAGGTAAATAGTGACGATATAAAAAAAAATAAAAACGCAGTCTTACTTTTCTACTTAGGACTTCCTGCAGCAGTGATAGACAAGGCCAAAACAGTGTGGAGTCAAATGGAAACACGATCATAAAGTCATTACTAAATTTAACATGTATACCCTTCTCTTTTGATGTATTGAAAATCACACTTGAATCCTTATCAAAATGTTACCTTGAAGCATGTACGACTATGCTTATCTCTTTCTTTTTCTTTTAAAAAAATGGCTTTGCTCTTTATATTCTTTTTATTGTGCTCATATAACGAATAAATATGTTAATGGTTTACTCTGAGTGAGATACTTTTGTGTGTGTTACAAATAGGCGGAGTATCATTTTGCGGAAGGAGATACAGATCTAGCGGGGACATGGACAGATCAAAGATTACTGGCTACTTAAAATTTTTTGTTACTTGAATTGATTCTCCCTTTTTCCCTCTCTTTTTCTTAGTTTTCAACAGATTCATCTCCTTCATCTTCAACCATGACTGCAGGCACTGTATCTACCAACCACGTTCAAGACATTGAATATGCTCGTGCACTTCATGGTGACAAAGTCAAGACAGGTCTTCTTGCCAACTTGGTCTCTAAGAACGCTCAGGTGCACGAAGTGACCACTGATACCTATCTTAAACTCTGGAAGAAGGAGGCCAAGAATGAAACAAAGGAAGATGAAGATCGCCGAACGGGTGATTATACCACACTGGTCAATTCTTACTACAACTTGGCTACTGATTTTTACGAATATGGTAATAAGAAAAAACACAATATGAGAAAAGGGACGTCTTTACTGATTCAAAATCACAGGTTGGGGCACCAGTTTCCACTTTTGCCGTTTTTATGTAGGTGAAGAGTTCAGACGCGCTATTGCTCGTCATGAACATTATTTGGCTGCCAATCTTGGCTTGAAGAAAGACATGCGTGTGCTTGATGTTGGTTGTGGTGTTGGTGGTCCCGCACGTGAAATTGCTCATTTCACAGGTGCTCATGTCACTGGTTTGAACAACAACGCCTATCAAGTCGAACGTGCCAAGTATTATGCTGCCAAGGAGTTGCTTCAAGATCAAACCGAATTCGTCAAGGTAATTTTGTAAATGAGATAAACATATATACATATATTGACGACATCAATAGGGTAACTTTATGGAACTCCCATTTGAAGACAACACATTCGATGCTGTTTATGCCATTGAAGCCACTTGTCACGCTCCTACTTTTGAGGGTGTCTATGGTGAAATCTTCCGTGTCTTGAAGGCAGGTGGAAGCTTTGGTTGCTATGAATGGGTTATGACAGACAAGTATGACGAGACCAACCCTCGTCACAAGCAAATTGCTCACGAAGTCGAAATTGGTAACGGTATTCCCAAGATGCGTACTACCCAGGAGTGCGTACAGGCCTTGAAGAATGTTGGATTTGAAGTTGTTATGAACTATGACCTTGCAGATATGGGTGATGCTATTCAGTGGTATTATCCTCTTGAAGGTGATCTCCGTAAGTGTCAAACTCTCAAGGACGTATTTACTACCATGGCCATGACAAAACTGGGTCGATTCACAACTACCAACTTCGTTCGTTTATTGGAAAAGGTTGGTTTGGCGCCCAAGGGCACTGTAGAGACTCAAAAGGTATTGGAAACTGCTGCTGATGCTTTGGTTGCTGGTGCTCAAGCTGGCATCTTTAGCCCTATGTACTTCTTTGTCGCCAAGAAGCCTCAAAACTAGACTCTTTTTCATCCTCTCTTTCTCTCCTAATACCTCTTTCTCTTTTTATATAATTTATATTTAATTCAATGAAAAAAGTTGTTTTAATATTTTAATCTGCACTAAAGTTAACAAATAAAGAAGAATAGCAAAAACATAGTTTGTGCACAAATCCCGAGTTTTGTTGTCAATGAGTCAGACACTGTTTGTTAGAGAGCAGTATTGAAATAACTTTACTGTGGTTTTTTACCCTTCCATAAAAAAAAAAACACACACACACACACTTCCCCAGTTTTTGCATGTTACTACATCTTCTTCAGGTTCGATATTGGATAAAGTCTATATTATGTGTGTTTTCAATTCAGCATCAATAATGTCTATTTGCTTATATCACCTACGAATAAACGTTGTTTGAAATATATTTTTGTGGCATGTTTCGTACATATGTTTAAAGATATACTGTATTTTTATTAAAAATCATTTGCGTTGTGTATGAAAATTAACATTGGGACGCACGCTGGCATTGGTTTGTAATATTGTTATGATATTTTTCATATTTTCTTGTAGAGCCACTACTTAATCATCTGTTAAATTTTGAGGGTTTTCTTGGAAAGACTTAACGGTAGCAAAAAGGTTGGAAAAATTGACTCCTGTACTATCTTCGTTTCTGAATGGTGGTGGAGCAGTGACAGGTACCTCGAGTGAAACTCTGTATGTGGTAGCTAGAAAGAAAATGTTTAGTGCTGTGATATTTAACTAGTTAGTGGGACACTTTCTACGCTTGACAGGTGATCCTTAATTTTGTTCCCCCTCGACCTTGGCTTCATCCTTCGTGTTAACGTATGTGAAGCGAATTCTATGTTTACGAATGGAATCCTCGACTGCCTGCTCCCAAGTGTCAACAGGAAAAGTAACAGTTTGAAGAATAGGTAAGTATCTCTGGATATTGATGGACGTATTAGAATTGCTTGACATAATGATATAACAAAGAACTTAAATAAAGCAAAAGCGCGTCTGTAATATATAAGACCAAAGTGACTTTATTCATACTCAAAAAACGGTCCAAATAGCTAAAATATATTTCGAACAATGCTTATACATAGGCGATATAAGTGCGTGTTCTAATTTAATTATTCACCTGCCTAGTTTTAGATTCAAAGCCTGTATTGGTTGACAATGGCGTTCTGTTAAAATGATTGCTCTTTCTTTTTTTAATGGCTGTTCTAAGCTGTAGACCTTGTTTATTTCATTTTAGGAACAATAATGAGTAAAGTAAAACCGTGTAACATGTCAACGTCTGGACGTAGCATAAAGACAGCTTATATGTATATTTGAGCATCATAATTAAACAAAGGAGAACCAGATGATACATGAAGGCCATTTACCAAATGTTGCCAGTAGTTTAGGCGACGGTTATTCATTTATGTTGTCTCTTTACTGTTCTCTTTTTTCTTTCTTATCCACATCCTGCTACAAACAAATGAACAAAGATAAAATACACACGATTATCAAGCTAATTCAAAATCGTAAAAAAGCCGAAGCAGAAGCAAGAGGTAGGTTGAATCACCACGTTTTATTTTTCTTCTACACGTAATATATACAGTTGTTTATTGTTATTTGTTATTGTTATTTAGCTTGTGAGAACTGTGGAGAAAAAGAGCATGTAAATAAAAAAGACAGTTGATGTGTAAAGTATGGTCCTGAATTGCGTAAAGGTAAATCTATACAAAGCGCACTAAAGTCATCTTTGCAAAGAAGCTAACAAATGTTGCGTTTAGTTGGCTCTAAAAGCAAAAGAATGAATGAAATACAAAAGCAGGAGCTTAGATGTCGTAGTGACAAAGAAAAAGATGACTGTTATACAAAAAGACAATTCGTCTTTGAAGTAAGTATTCAAGCAAACAGAAGAAGAAAAGAAACTAGTATATGGACTTATGCTAGAGTTAAGCATATAGAAAAAGCCTGTCTGAAGATTGTTTTTTTTACCATGATAAAACGATGATACCCGTCATTGCATTTGGAAACGGGACGTTGAAGAAAAATCATGTCAAATTCAAGGGACACAAGGTTGGCCTTACAGATGTGCTGTATACCGAGCTAAAGAAGAAACAAAAAAGTGGGGAGGCAATCATTGCACTTGTGGATGAATATCGAACGTCGATGGCCAGTATTTTAAGACAAACATAATATATTTTGATATTGTTTATTAACTTTTCCTATCTTGTTACATAAGATATGTCACTACTGCAACGAAATGTCCCTCATTCATGCATTTTCTGGTCTCCGCAGTATTCTAGTCTGCCAAGATTGTGGGATGCTGTGGAACAGAGACCTTAATTCAAAGAATATTTATAACCTTTCTGAACGCTTGGTAGCAAGTGAGGATCTTCCTGCTCCGTTCAAGAGACAATAATTTTGTGATTACATCGCCATATCAAACCCGGTTCTTCCTTTGATGAATGTTTAGATTTATGTAGGTATGTTTGTTAACTATCTTTCAAGTGTTTTTGCACTAGCCTTACTTTGTCGGGTTCCCTATATCAAACTTCAATTTTTTGTATTGTGTCTTCACTTGATTTTGATTGGACTAAAAATTGTATTTATTCGCATATAGTAATAAACATAAAACATACAATAAGTATAAAAGAAGGGGATTATGTATATATATAATATATAAGATAAGAGAGAGAAGAGGGAGGGGGGATATATATAAGACAAGAAGAGGAGGGGAATATGTATAGAATATATGTATATATATAAATATATGTAAAGAGAGTAAAGTTATATACCTAATAATAATATAAAGAAGCATAAAACTACACACAAGGTCATATACATACATACAAGAGTGTAGAGAGAGAAATAAAAGGAATGAGCCATATGATTGGGTAGTTTGTAGTATAGCTTAGGTTTGCCATGAATAGAGCTCTTGTTGTTCATATATATAAGAAGGACATAGGGTAGGAGAAGAGGCTGCACTTGAATACCAGGAAAGCCTCTGATGATCTTTATCACTGTAATAAGGATCATCACAAAATGAGTTGTAAGGAATGCTTTCGTTCAGGGCCGAAGAGGAAGAAGAAGCGGTGAGTGGATAAGGACTGTCAAAACTACTTTCACTGCCATTTGGATTCCACATAAAGGAAGGAGGTGGATAATAACCAGAGGATAAGAGTAAATCATCGGTACTTGCATTGGTAGTAGAGGGCATATCAACAACGCCGAGTCCCGACATATCAAAGACAGAATCATCTGATTTAGGAGGCATCAAGACTTGAGGACTTATAGTAGGCGAGGTACAGGCGCTATTGACGATAGCGTTGTAAAAATAAGTATCAATTTTGGAGCAAGATGAAGCATTTCGCTTGAGGTGGCTTCTTCTAAGACGAGTATTGTTTTCACTTCGAGGCTTTTCATCTGACGACGGTTTTTCTTTTGGTTCCTTTGTCCTAGAGGCAAGCGAAGAGGACCTTGAACGGGTATGGGTCTTTTTGTGCTGAGCCAAGTTATCTGTTCTTGAAAAGGATTTACCACACATGTTACAGCTGTAGGGACGCTCCATCGTATGAGTTCTAAAGTGTCTCTTGAGATGCTCCAATCGCTTGAATACTCTTCCACAGCGGGATAAAGGACAAATAAAAGTCCTTTCATGATTACTATCATCACTAAACATGTGAGGGTCTACGGCAAGACCTGCATTAATAGCGGCTAGTTCCAATTGATTATGATGCTGATGTAAGGAAGATGTTCTCTTTCGTTGTCTTTGCTTATACGTTGGAGATCCTTCAAAAAGAGAGAAAGCACCAAATATTCTTTGTCTTTGATCCTGATCAAACGAATCGAATGGAAAAGAGGCTAAGATAGGAGAGTGTGGACGACTAGGTGTCGGCGTTGTCACTTGATCGGTAGAGCTTTTTTCATTCCAGTTGTCAGGCCAGTCATTTTCAAAGTCATGTGATGAAGAAGTACAAGTCATGTCTAATGTGTCACATTGATAATTTTGAAAAGATGAAATAAAGCAGAAAAAAATAAACATAAAAAAGAAATTATTAAATAATTGTTCTACTAATTTATTTCCTAGCTTTTTTTTTATTCTTGGGCGTAGACTTACCGATCTAGTCGCCCTTTTTTTGCCTCTCTCTCTCTCTCTTTCTCTGTCGCCCTCTCTTTTTTTTACACTTATTCCCCCAAGAATAAAATAATAAATAGAATTAATTACCTGCTGCATTTAATAAGCTACTATGATGAAGCTGTGGTGAGGTATTAGCACTTGCAACGACAGATTCATCCAGAGCTTGAGCCGCTGCTACTGCAGATAATGACATTGATTTTCTTAATTGATCAAACATGTCTTGAGCAGAATCCAATGTTAAACTAAGAGCTGGTTCAGCAATGGCTACGCTTGTTGGTTCCAATCCGATCTTTTCTCGCTTCAAATCTCTTTCGAGTGCATCCAAAAAGAGTCGATCATGAGGCACTGAGAACCAGTAGAATACTTTTTGTTTCTTTTGTGTTCGAATGCAGTTATTCTTGTAAAGCATTTCTAAAAACTCTGATTTTGGTTCTTCCAAGGAAGCATCCATACCAGGCTTCAAGTTACGTAGATCAGAAAATATACCTTCTTCGAACTTCTTAAGGTTGGTGACAGGTCGGCCAAAGAGGTGGAACCGGTAAAGAAGTGTTCTGACTATATCTGTGCCTGTAACATGAAAGAGATCGTTCCAAAAGACACAAGAGATACTTTCACCTGTAGGTAAAGGAAATGATCTTACTTTACATTGAGGTTCCCAGTCATTGGTTGCTGTACCCAGGAAATATTTTAATTCATCGATTTGACCAAGTCTTTCTTCGGTATTTTCATTTGTTGGCGGCTGTAACCGATTGGCTGATACCAAAGAGTGGTGTTGGTCAAAAGTAGTGTCTTCTTTGTAGTTGCTGGCCATAGAATATAACTAGTATATGTGTTTGTATGTATATACGCGTTGAATGAAAAGTTTGGTGGTGGGAGAGGAAGAAGGGGTGAAAATAAGAGAAGTGGGTGATGTATTTATATTTTTTTAATGTATAAAGTCAAATAAGGAAACCAAGGGGTGAGTATAGATTATAATGTACCAAAAAAGAAAAAGGAGTGGGTCATCGTATTTGGACATTCAAGAAGTTGTCATTGAATGATGTTAAAGTGCATTCATCCTTCCTTTTTGGATCAAGGGTTCTAGACAGTATCCTTTTGAACAGTAGATCCTTCCTGGTTATTTTTGCCATGCGTCTGTTTCCAAGTGACGTCAAGAGATACCTCCCCTTTCTCTTTTTTTTTTTTTTTTTCAAATGAGGACCCTTTTTTATGCTTCCCCCTACTCTTTCTTTTTGTTTGTACTTTCTTTGTTGCTATGGAACATATTTCTATGGTAACTTAGATAGGGGGAACATGTTTTTTATTTTCTATACATTTTAAATTCAAATGCCCATCCCCCCTCCTTATGCATAGCTACTATATGAATACGTCATTGAAAAAATAGATTAAAATTTTCTATATGATATATGTATATGGATTACCATAAAAGTTAATTTCTTTGGTCTTGTGAATAGATTCCTCCTTTAGAATACGTGTAGGAGCTTGGAATTAAACAATAAGCACCAATCAAGATATGGTGAATGCCATGTGTTCTCTTTAAATGTAGAATTAACAGATGCTTAAATTCAATGTAATACAAAAGTCAAAAATAGACTTTGTCAATTGTTTATTTTAAAAAGTTAATTCTTGTCCACTGTCCGATATTCTCAATGGCTTCTGCAGATTTGGCAAAGGGGAAAGCTTGAAATACGTGCATCATATCCTAAATAGATTTAGAATAGAAAATATATATATTTACAGAACATACCTTGTAGACTTCGTGCCGTACTTTTGTAGTCTTTGACTTTGAAATTTTATTTTCCAGGGCGACAATTTCATCACGTAAGGATTCACAACCTCCTGACTGGATAAGGATCGGTGGTAAATGATCAAAGTGGTCCGCATAGATCGGGGAAACATATGGGTGCGTTGCAAAATCAGGTGACTCCAGATAAAGTACTAGGGGATTTACTGTCATTTCATGGTTCGGTCTAGGTGCCAAATAATCATACATGACGCAGTCATCCCAGCTGGAGTACGAATAGGTCAGGTCAACAAATGGCTAATCATTAAATTAATTTTTTTTTTGATTGTTAAAAATAAACTTCCGCTTACTGATAATAAAACGGCAGATTCTGGTAGGGGCAACCCATGATCTCGAAGATAAAGCATCGATGACAAACAAAGTCCTCCTCCAGCAGAATCACCCATAACAGATATATTCTCAGCCTTGAACCCTCCTTCCTTGCTAATTAACCACAGGAACGTCTGAACTGCATCGTACAGTGCTCCTGGAAACTTGGTTTCTGGTGCCAACCGATAATTGACAGCTATTGAGGAATAACAGTTAATTGTTTTATATATAATGTGTATGAATGTGCATACCTAGCACGCGTCGGCCTGTTGCCTGGCTGATCTTGGTTGTGAGTACTCTATGAGTTTGGGCGCTCATCATACAGTAACCGCCCCCGTGAAAGTAGAGGACGATTTTTTCGTTCTCAGTTCCATAGTAATTTGATATATTAGGTAGAATGGCAGATACCCATTCAGCATAAAGAGTTCTATCATTCTTCTCTTCTTCATCCATTTTCTTCAATATTCCACATAGTCCTCTTGGACGGATAGGTACCGAGATGGGCTCAATTGACGCGGTTTTGATCAAACCGAAAATCCTTACTGAGTCGGTGCATAAGCGCCAATATGCAATGCTGCACGACGCGTTGTTGCTTCTAAAGGCTTGCATGAAACCGATTATGATCGTTGTCTGGATGTCCCAAGTTGGAATTCGTGGCCTTGATTGTACATGAGACCAGATGTCGCTAGCAATTCGAACGAGACTTCTGGGTAACCAATAGGCTGTTCTACATACTTCTTGCGCTACAGTAATCAAGGGAAATGCGGTTGCTGCTGCTGCAACAGATGTAGTTAACACAATTTCTTCTATGCAGCAACCTTTGACAGTGCAAGTTTTAGTTAATGCGCTCATATTGAATAAAAGAGCAAAGAGAAAAAAAAGAAGATGAAATGATGCAAACAAGTCTTTTATTGCTCTTATTTATCACTAAACAATCACATGCTTACCCCACACAAGTAACTTGCTACATCCTTATGGCCCCACAGTACAGCTATTTTTTGTTTATGTTAGTACAAACGTACGACCTAATATGTTCAATAAACGCTTACAAATATCCTGTGCATCTCTTCCATGTTTATCCTTGTGACCTTTGTCCGCTCGGATTATTTCTACCAGATAACAAATGATATCTAAATATCCCTGTCGCGCTGCATGCATCAAGGCTGTCCAAGAGTCCCAACTGTCGGGGGCATTCCACTGTACGTTTGGGACTGATTCCAAAAGATGTAATACGTTCAAATGTCCTACCATGGCTGCATGATGAATGATACTTCGTCCCAAAGCATCTCGATCATTAGGATCAGCGCCTTGATCTAAAAGATATTTCAATATCTTCAAGTTTTGCGATACAGCTGCATCCAACAACAGATTCCGGCCAGAGTGATCTCGATGCGTGAGAACGGAAGGTGGGGCAAGTGAGAGTAAGTGACTTGTAATTTCATATGCTGCTGTTTCATGCATAAGAGATGCTGCTGCTTGAACAGGTAATCGACCTGATTTGGTGGGCTGGGCAATCGCTTCCGGATATATATCTGCTAGATACTTTGCCATATCAATGTGACCTAAGATAAGCAACAACAAGAACAGTTTTGAGCTATCTGTTTTTCTTTTTTTCTTACCTTCTTGAACAGCTAAATACAAGGCTGTTCTACCGTCTTTGGTCGTTCGATTTAATAATGCGCCTGCTTTTACAAGCATCTCAACTACTTTGCGGTTTCCTTTTGAAGCTATATTTATATAAATGCATATAAACATCACAGGGTTTCCTTGATTTCTATTTTTGAAATACCTGCAATCATCAAGGGAGTCCAATCACCTCGCTTCATTGCATTAACATCCACTTTATGATCTATAAAATAAGCTATGCAATCGACTGAATCAATTGCTTCATGAATCGGTCGTCTTCCGTGTTCATTGACTGCCTCGATATCAGCTCCGTATTGAATCAAGAGGTCAATAACAGGCAGGTTATGCATTCTTGATGCATAATGAAGTATTGTATCCCCATGAGTATCTTTGGTGTTGATATCCAAGCCTGGTTGTTCTTTTAGAATTCGTTCGACATGATCTTTATTTTCCAATGACTTGATTAGACTTTGCATAACTTGCATTTTTTTTTCTTTTCTTTCCTCAAAAGAAATAAAATAAAAAAATGAAAATACCTGGCATTCAATTAAACAGACTAATAGAAATATTTCGAATCAAGGGTGATGCGCACACAGTAACTCCATTATTTGGAATTAAGGCAATCAAGAATGATTCTCAGTCATTAAGAGCAGCCGTAGTGACAGGCAAAAAGAATGTGAGTAAATTAGCTGTGGTGAGAGCAAGGATCAGACGAAGGCTGACACATGCTTTGGCGACTGTCTCTCCTCAATATCCAGAATTAAAAGGTTGAACAAAGACTAATTACAATATAGAAACAAGCTAACAGTGCATGTAGGCTATGACCTTGTTATCTATGGTAAACTGGCAGTATATAATGAACCTTGGCCAAATCTCATCAAGGAAATTAACTTGTCATTGTCAAAAATACAAAGAAAAATCACAGTGAAATAATAATAAACCTTCAAAATAGAGTCCACAGATTTTCACATGTGCTTATTTATTTATTTTTTATTCTCATCGTTTTCTCACTCTTCTCCCTTTCTTCCCTTGTTTTCTTTTTACTTACATTAAAATATGCCTGAACTGAAAACATTTACTAGAGCAGAAGTTGCCAAGCATAACACTGAAAATGATTGTTGGATCATCATTGACGGTGCTGTCTATAATGTCACTACTTTTGCTCAGTTGCATCCTGGTGGTGCTCAAATTTTGATTGATCTTGGTGGAAAGGATGTTACAGGTATTTTGTGTTTGTTTGATGTTTTGATTCACTCTGACCTTTTTCTTTATAAAGATGACTTTTTCGGTCTTCATAGACTTGAAGTGTTGACAAAATATGCTCCTCGTCTCAAGATCGGCCAGGTTGAAGGTGAAGTCTCTCAGGTCGCTCTTCAGGTCCCTGGTGACTTGTCTAAAATTCCTTATGGTGAACCTAGCTTTTGGATGGGCTTCAAGAGCCCCTATTTTAAGTAAATTATTGTTGACATTCATGTAATTTATGCTTACTAACTGTCAATTCTCAGTGAGAGTCACACAAATTTCCGTAAGGCCCTTCGCGCCATTTATGACGAAATCCGTCCAGAGGCCATCCAGGCTGAAGAAATGGGCAAGTATCCTTCCAAGGAACTCTACCAACACTTGGGAGAGGAAGGTGTCTTGGCTTCCCAAATTGGCCCCGGCCCTTGGTTAAAGGGACTCAAGTTACCTGCTGGCATTGAGCCCGAAAAGTTTGATTACTTCCACGAACTCATTGCTCACCAAGAAACAGCGCGTTTGGGTACACCCAGTTTCTGTGATGGTGTCTCTTCAGGCTTCAGTATCGGCCTTCCTCCCATATTCAACTTTGGTAGCCCCGAGCTCAAGGCACGCGTTGTCCCTGAAGTGCTTTTGGGAAAGAAGCGTATCTGTTTGGCTATTACCGAACCCTATGCCGGTTCTGATGTCGCTCGTATTCGTACCACGGCCAAGCGAACTCCCGATGGCAAACACTTTATTATCAACGGTGTCAAGAAGTGGATCACAAACGGTTGTTTCTCAGACTACTTTACTGTAGCTGCTGTCACCGAAAAGGGTATTACCATGTTCTTTGTTGAGCGTGATGATAATATCGAAACCAAGCAGATCAAGACCTCTTATGGTGCCTCTGCTGGTACCTCTTATATCACTTTTGAAAATGTCAAGGTCCCTGCTGAGAACATCCTCGGTACAGAAGGCAAGGGTTTCCAAGTTATTATGTACAACTTTAACCACGAACGTTGGTATATCTGTGGTGCTGTCACCGGTAGCACTCGTATGGTCATCGAGGACTGCTTCAAGTGGGCTGTTCAACGTAAGGTCTTTGGAAAGAGACTCATTGACCAACCTGTCATTCGTAATAAGCTTGCTTCCATGGTTTCTCAACTTGAAGCTGTCGAAAACTGGCTCGAAAATATCACTTTCCAAATGTGCAACATGTCTTATGCTGAACAATCTGTCAAGTTGGCTGGTCCTATTGCTCTCTTGAAATATCAATGTACTCGTGTTGCTCATAATGTTGCTGATGATGCTTGTCAAATCTTTGGTGGTCGTGGTATTACCAAGACTGGCATGGGTCGTAACATTGAAGCATTCCAAAGAACTTACAAGGTAATAATAATAATAATATGAACTGTTTGTATATGTGTTTATTCACTTTTTTCTATATAGTATGGTGCTATTTTGGGTGGTAGTGAAGAAATCATGGCTGATCTTGGTATTCGTCAAGCTATGAAGTTCTATCCTGAAAATGCCAAACTTTAAACACCCCTCCTCTTTTTCATTCCCTGTTCTTATAAAAACCCACAGTTGTTTTGTTTTTAACTCTTTCTTTTATAAATAAAAGAAGATATTTTATTATTATTATTTCCATAATGCATTTACGCGTTTCCTACGCACGATGGGTCCAGAAATTAGAATGGCAACACCCAAGCCAATCATTGTCAGTAATAGCTGAACTTTAGAAAAGTCTTCAGAGAGCACATCGAATTGACGACTAGGTGATTGTCTGCTATAAAATGTATCAAGGCCATATGAGAATACAAGTGATGTCGATTCCAATAAGGAGGGACTTGTGATGATCGTTTGAATACCAGCAACATCCAAGTCATAGGTTAAAAAGAAACGTCTCTCATCAGGAATAGGAGCATAAGGGAAGAGCATTTCTTCCATATTTTCTTTCGTAGGCTTGTCTCTAGGTCTTCGAGGATCAAGCAGTCTCTTGTTGACGCTGACAATTTGATGCGTAGGTAATCCAACTAGAAGCAATGATTAATATTCATCTACACACATCATATTGTTATCACTTACAAATAATGGCTTTAGTAGAAATTCCATTCTTTGTCGTTGTTACTCCCATACAGCTAACAGGGTAGGGAAATGCAAATGCAGCAGAGTTGACGTAGGGTTGAATGTTGTCAAAAGACGAAAAGGTCGTACTGTTTGTTGTATAAGTTTCTTTTTTCTATTTCTGTGCATGCACCACTTACCTTTCAATTCGTTCATTCTCATGTTTACCTTCAAAAAGCTCCAATACAACTGCTTGATATCCTTTTGCTCTAGCATCGTTGCTCCAAAAGTGGTAAACAAACCAATTCTCGGCTTGAATGATGTGGACCTGGTTTGTAGTAGTATCAACATTGTCATGAGTCGTCTCATATAGAACAGACCCCTTTACAGCATCCAAGATGCGTACTTTGAGTAAAGTTCCCTTCCTGGAGATCAGAGCAAACATATGAGGGTTAAGATACTTGTAAGCCACGTTTCTGTTACCGAGTGCTCGGCCAAGTAGAGCGACTTTATCATAAGTCTGAGGCTTACTGGTCGTTACTATCTCTTCTCCCTTGGGAAGGATAAAGTTCCAGACAGGAATTGCTTTCAGACTGCCTCGATAGCCTTCTACTACTTTGAAACCTTGCATGCCGGTGTTTGTCTGGTGTGAAAAGTAAAATTTGGGAAGGAATTCAGATCTAAACTTTTCTCGAGCAGCTGTCGTGTCTGGGTAGATAAAGACACGTCCACTGCCAGTTTCATAAACTGCCAAAAGGTGAGTTCGTTCTTCTGGTTCTTCAATAGGTAAACGCATCACTTTATCAACGTTGATGCCTGTTGTCACTACGGGTTCAAAGAAATCAGCAGATTCAGGAATGGAAGAGATGTAGTCTTCTCCTGTAAGCGCGTTCAGTCGAATGAAGCCTGTTGCTTCTCCTCCCATGTCATCTACAGTTGAGCCAATAGCCACAATAATAGGTGGAAGTTTGACGGTAGCGGCACGGACAACGTGAATCTGACTAAAAGAATAATAAGGTGCATATCGACTCCACACAATCTTGCCCTTTCTGGATGTATCTTGAGCAATGATCTTTCCAGTCTTGGTAACAGAGATGATCAACTTGCGTAGTCCAAAATTGTCACGATACAGAGTTTCGGGTTGGCTGTTATTTAACCAACATGACTGGGCCTCCACGATAGAAATCTTGTTATTGTGTCGATCGGCTTCAAGAGCTGAGCCATACATGCCAGCAAAATGAGAAATGAACCATTTAGGTAATTTACCAAGTCCATGCAAGTGTGTTATAAGGCGACGACGGTAACGACTAAAAGGATTTTCAACAGCTTGTTCACTCACTGTCTCGTCCAATTCGTCAGCCATTTGAGTCCACATCTTTTGCTCAGGAAGATCCAAAAATTCGGATGCAGCAATGTTGGCCAGGGATTCTTCTCGTGACCAGAGTATGTCACGCTCATCAAAGCAAAGTACAGAGGAGCCTTCGGTAGCAATTAAAAGACGGAATGGTTCAAAGCTTAGTATTTTGGCGTAATTGATATCGCCGGATAAGTCAAAGTCATGCTCTATTTTGATTTCCTTGCCTTCGGGTGAGAGATAGACAGTAAATTCATTTGCTCCTGATCTGTAAATACGTGCAGCAGAAGCATTGTAAAAATCAACACCGCCAAAGGAGGGCTAGTTTAAAAAATATCAAGTTAGATAGTTGTTTGTGATGTTTAGATGATCCTGTACATGTGAGCCAAAGTATTTCTTAAATAAAAGTGATTTTCCGTCATTTTCTATATGAACCAAAGCAGATGCAACTTGAGTAGTGGCAAATTCATCCTCTTCGTACTCAGCAGTGATAATCAATGAGTTATGTTGACCGTGAATGCTGATCTGACTAGCATCAAATTCATCAACCTCGGGAACTGACTTCAAAAGTTCTTGGATCACCACAGCTTGAATATCTTTGGCGTAGATAGGCGTCCACTTTAATAAGCTTCCTTCAATCCAGAATATGTAGTCTCCAATATAGGTAATATGACTGAAACTGGAATGACAATCAATCTGAAGCGTCTTTTCTGTTTCTCCGGTCAATCTATCAATGATATTTATGAAAAAGTAAGGCGCATTGCTGTCTTCCTCTGGTTCTACAATAACATAGATATGACCCTCCTTTTCTCGAATCTTTAGCTTGTTGCCTTCTTTCCTATGGAGTTGATAAGCATGAGTATATATAATAAACTATCCAGACAATATAGTAAGTTACTCTGGTTTTATCCAACTCCACACAATACTGCCTTCTTTAGACAGCTTGATGAGCTCATTATTGCCTAAAAGTAGACTTGTTTCTCCATCTTCAAACAGGATAGGTTCTGCTGCACCAAATTGCTTTTCTTCTGGCAAAACATGTTCCCAGACCAAATGACCGTTTGTTTTGTTCCAAAGTTGAGCGCGTTTAGGGTCATCCGATGTTGTTAGGATACCTAGGGATGTATATTATTAAGCCTCTTTTTATAAAAAGATAGTAATGGTCATACCTGCATCAGAAGTCTTGAGGTTAATTAACTGACTATCAAGGATCTGTCTCCATTCTATAAAACGCGCGTTAATTCAACCAAAGACATGCAAAAAAAGAGAGAAAAGCTATTTACCAATAGCTCCTGTGTGCTTGCTGATAGATGCAAACACATTTCTATCAGAATAAACTAGGACATGGTTATCATCAATATTGAAGGCTTCTCGAGGATGACCAATCCAGGTATGGTGCCAATCAAATGCACCTGCTTGAGATTCATAAATAGCTTGTGCGGGTACGCTTAAGCAAGCTATACCAAATAAAAGTAACAAAAGACCACGCAAAGTGATCATTTTATACATGAAAAGCAAAACAAAAATCACTCATTGGACTTCACTGCAAAAAGTTAATTAATCTTCCGCCATTACTTGTTTTATTTAACCAATCTATTTTATCCAAATACGCTAAATTCATCTTCGTCCACTAGTGCTGGCTGTTTATATGCTGTTCTTTGCTGACGCTGTTTTAGTCTAAGCTGATTATCATTTGCCATCGGAGGTATTCGCTTTAATCCGCAGCCATTGCATACAGGCACGCACCTAAAGCATCGCTCAAAACGATACCCACAAGACCAGCAACTTGCATGAACAGGGACTATTCTCTGACATCTTTCTGTGTAAACATCCTCAGCGAGTGTTGGTCTGCCATTATTTAATTGCATCTGTAAGCGACGAATTTGTTGTTCCAATAAACTCAAGTCTCTTTCTATTTCGTTTTCTTTTTCATCTTCTGAGATGTATCCACAAATCTTTATATCCAGCTCTACATGAGGATGTATTGAAAGTCTGTTCCATGTCTTTTGATAGGTGTGTAAATGAGGTTCATAGTCCATGTAGTAGTGATAAATGTTTACTCTCTCTATTGGTAAAGACTTGGGCTTGATGTGTCCAAATTTTAACATTTCTTGTAATAGCTTAATGTCCACCTCTATGTTAGTCGTGTCCTTTCTGTTTCTTGCACTCAATACTCTTAAATTAGGAAATTTAATCAGCATAATGAGTGGCGACAAATCAGGATCGTCACAATCATCCATGACAACCTATCACTGTTTGTTATTATTGTGGATGATTTGCTAAATATATGAGCAAACCTCTCGAACAAGCTGTCGTAGTCCATTACTATCTCCAAGTTTTCTTAATGAAGAATATGTCCTGCTCAAGTCGTTCATATTAACGTCAAATACAATGCGCTTCCATAAGTATTTAGAAGAAAGAAACAGGTGCCGCATATGTCGGCAAGTATCCATAAGGCTTGTTCTTGAGCATAAATCAAGATATTGACTTATATCAGCAATTACATCAAACGGTAATTGAAGTAGATAAGGGGTATCGTTGTGCATCTTTATATATTAATGACAAGAATAAAAAAAAGAGGATTCAGCATAGAAAAGTTGTTTCAAAGCATTAATAAGCTTTTCGTGACGGTCGTCAAGGAAAGGGCAGCCAATCAAAGACGAGCGTAGTCTTTGACATTAAGGAGACTCTATTGCATTAAATATGGCCCATTCACTGTCATAATAGATCTTTCTGGTACGTACATCTTCTGCATGGTAAAGAATTTCAAATTTCCCGCTTGATAAGAAATAGATTGGAAATATATGTGTCACTTGTCCTCCATGAGCAGGTATCTGTAAAGAATCAATAAGGCAGTCCTCAAGCATTCTTTTTGCCTTACCTCTGGCAAAAGGATCTGCTGTGTTCCTTCTATCAGTATATCATCTGATAAATGATACCCTTTTGTACTATCACTAAATCTCTGTACCGGTTGAATCCGCAAGATAAGTTTAATGGGATACCCTATACTATTTATTTACATTTGTTATCCTGTAAATGATTCAACTTACTTAGTCTATTATGAATAGTGATACTCATCTCTATAGGATTGTTGCATTTACAGTCGAATAAGCATCGACTTTTCCTTTGCGTAGCATCGCCTTTAACATTTATGATAAACTCTATATTCTCTTTCTTGAGCACAGCCAGTTGGTTCAGGCCAAGTCCTATACACGGTCGGATATTAAGAATACCCGTTCTCCCTGTAACATGACAGGTCCAGGCACATTTTATACGGCTCAAAAGCTCTTCCCTATACCAAAATATCTGTTGACATGTATATAGTTCCTCTTCTGATATTTTGCTCTTTATAAATTGTTTGTTAGGGTCCACTGATGGTATTGGTCGAGAACAGGCTTCTTCGGATAAGAACAGTCGCTTGAAAGGAAGTAAAATTCTATAATTTGTTATATTTGATTCAAGTTTGGAATATTTCAATGACTTTTTTTACCTTTTAGTATGCCCAGGTTGAATCGATATATTGGACACGTTATTGTTATCGTCATCGCCGCTGATAACAAATGACACACTGAAGGGCGTCGTCCAAACATTCTTAACATCAATCGCTACCAGACAATGGTCATTTCGAGCCTTGTCTTTAACTTCAGCATTGGTAATCAGCTGCACAAATTTCATCGATTCCTCTATCTTTTTTATTCCATTTTCCTCTCCGGCCGAGTCATCGTCATATAAATTAGCTATATGCCGGAGAGATAATATATCCCAGTTGGACGGTTCCAAATGTTGATAAACTGTTAATAATATGTTTAGATAAAGGTGACGGGTGTATATAAAGTTAACATTTGTATCAACTGTATCCTTTTGTATGTATCCATAATCTATTTGAATACTTCCTCCACAACTAAAGTATATTAGATCTATACATTTCATATCACTGTGTCCTTTTTTCTTACCAATCTTTTTTACCATATATTTTTATCATAACTGTCTTAGCTTCACCAGGAAGTAGTAGTACCTCTTCATTTGGATTAAATGATTCTTTAGCAGAATTATGCTCCCATGAAAAGACATGTGTTCCTTTTGTATGAAGTTCGTTTTCGTATTGTTCTTCAGGTGATAATTCATGGTTATAAGGTAAAGGCTGAATGGTTGATGATTCTGTAAATGATAGTTTAATGTAATTTACTGGTGTGTTGCCTATATTTTCAACTTCTATAGTTAAATGGGTCCTATATAAAAAGCTTTTATCAGTATATATGTAGAGCCAAGCCTCTACTTCGTATTTACATTTCTCCTTCATAGAGCATCATTGCGTTATGAAGCAAAGACGTATTCTTAATTTTTAAAAGTGGCTGTTCATCAACAACTGTGAAGGTATGGAAGATATGCTGCTCAGATTCTCCAGATAACTCTGATGTACCTCTTCTCCATGAGTACCGTTGGCATGTATTCTTTTTTATAATTACCTCTTGTTCTTATACATTTGACTGCATCAAGACCACTAGATTGACAAATAAGAAAGAATGAGTGATAACATTATGCCTTTGTCTTTAAACATTACCATCTTTTGATCTTTATAATGCCAGCATTGCTAAAAGCAGTGTTCCCTAATTCAACCAAAAATTCTTGCTCCAGAAACCCTACGATTTGAACCTTGCAGCCTCTAACAATCAGTGTACCTGTTTCTTCAGGTATGCCAGCCAAAACCATACTGGTTGATGTATTTGCTGGTATGCTGATGGCACTAGGAATACCCTGAAAGGCAACTCCTGATGTACTATAATAGTTAGTCTAAGCGACTGTATCAAATAGTAATACACAGTTAAAAGTACCTTAGAACGATGCTTCTAAGTTCCAAGTCAAACCCAAAGGGATTAACCAACACAACTTTAAATTCACACAGCTCATTTTTTATCAAGTTCACTTTATGCTAATCAAGCATCAGCATAATGCATCTTTTTTTGCAAGACATACCTCTATAGTTTTTTTGTGAGTAAATGGATTGTATATAAATGGATCCGCAAAATCACGCTCACGCTCTCTTGCTTGTTGATTAAAAGCATCATGCTGTATGATATGAGTATGAAGGGCTCTTCTTGCAATAGGCTTCTTGGGTTCTATGCTCGAGACAATATTCACGCCCCAGTAACTAATCATGATATCAGACGATGCCTTCTTTTTGGTTGTACTCGTAACCATAGTCTGAATACTTGTTGCAAGTCGAATCTGATCAGGTTTTGAAATGTGCTGATAAAGATTTTTCAGTAAAATGGCTGTATAGTACATTTGAGATTGACTGTCGAGCAAGATCTCAGACATGTTGATGCATTGTTTCAAGATATTGACCTGAAGCTGCGGCCAGCCGCAGACTAATTGGTCTTTAAATACCGATGTTCTTCCTCGTACACTGCTACTAGAGGGCGGCTTTTCACCTTCCTGTAATGCCTCACCTACGCCATATGTCTCACAGATCTGCTTTAACACATTCATGATGCCCGTGTCATGCATGATGCCTCCTTTAAGCAAGCGTGTTCTTCGATGCTGCATAATGAAAGGTATCATACGACTAACGCTATCATACATTAACCATGCTGCTTTTCGCTGATACCCAATACATTTGTGAAGGGTTGCCATCGACATGGTGATATGAATCTAAAAACAGGTATTCGATAAGAGGGGGAGATTTTGTGATGGATATCTGTTTTTAAGACTTTACTTGGTCTAATTGTGCCATTTCACTGATATTGGCTTCCCAAGCCTTTGTAATCCACTGACCAATGCTGTACCTAGAAACACCTCCTACAACTGACGGCCATCTTTTCCAGACCTCAGTGGGATCCGTGTTCCATAATTTTTGTTGAATGAGTAGCGACAATGTCTGTTCGTTCCAACCAAGATTGAGATAGCAAGTAGCAAGAAACCTTGCTATACGTAAACAGCATTCTGCATATACTAGACTTGGTAATCCCGCTGAGAGTCGTATATGAGCATAATTTGTTATAGCCACTCGATACTGTTCAGAAACAAAGGTAATAGTCGACACATCATCACGATTCTGTTCCTCTGATTCGTAGTATGCCCTTGATGTTATATGCTACTGTCTCTCAGTTACTTTTTCTTTTGAATGATGATGAAACTTACACCGGCATCCATTTGAACATATTCGAGTAGTATTGTCGCACAAACGCGACCTTCAGCGGCACTGGCAAGCCATAGGTAATCATCTGTCACTTTTGCCATATCAATGGCTTGTTCAAAACTATAAACGGATATGAATATACATAAATAGACTCCTTCGTCATCACCTACTGATGAATTGCATCAGGTAATTGACCGGCAAGCAAGTAAAAGTCCGCAAGCAGTTTTCTGATCCGTCCAGGCGTCTTTTTCCGTAAATCTTCTGTCATCGAAACAGAATGTCGACGCTGCAAATACTTTGAGCGAGCAGATGGTTGACTAAACGCAGGCGTTTCGATGATTTCAAGGGTTTGGACACGATTTGCCTACAAAAATCAATGTTTTATATACTCTGTTATTTCTTTTGTGACCCCTCTCTTACGATGACTGAGAATTCAGCAAGTACTTCATTAGCAAAGTCGTTCATCATGGTGCTCATATAGAATACCATGTTACCCACATTGGGTATCATAATCAGTCCCTTGGCATTATCTGCTTGATTTTCTATAGGATCAAATGCGAAACACCTCGTTACGGGCGCAGCTATCGTCTGCGCCATTTTCATGAATTGATCGTACCCTTCACTTAGATCTTTCCACTCTTGACAATCCATAATACCAATGACCTGTAAGGAATACGTATTAATGTATGCTTTTTTCTATGTCTCTGCATTTTTGTTTATGTACTCCGAACAGACGACGGTAAGGTTGAAAGTCTTGTAATTCAACATGATCATTGGCGACATGTGTAAGAAATTCAAAATGAAGCTGACCTTCTGGGAACACTTGACTGTTGAACGTATCTTTTTAAGGAGTGGATAGGTTATTTATCAAGACTTGATTAATATGCAAACATACCGTTCAAGTTGGGAGTAACATCTCCAAGTCGTATCGTGTGCAACGATTGAATTAGCTGAACATATTTTTTAAAAGTGGATCTTTTAATAGGAAACACTGGTACTAACAATACGCGTATCCTACAAAGGCAAGCGATATCAACTGCTATATCCATCTTTTTCTTTTTTTTTTTATAAAGAAACGGAAAGAAAAAGATATCAGAAAAAGGAGAGAGAAAAAAAGCTATGCATAAATAAACAAATATCGTGAAACGTCACGCAGGTCATCGATCAAGACGTTTATTCTGACTATGTTGATCTAGTGAACTTGAAAAAGTGGCGCTTAGTGCAGCAGCCACTGTAGCAGTAATTCCAATGGTTGCATAGGTCAATTGCTGCTGTTGTTGATTTATAAATAATTTTGATAATGACTTTTTTAAGGTATGTTCAAAGGGTCCTCGTAAGAATATATACAACATCAACCAATAAATAGCGCCTTTGTATGCAAATGATAACCTGAATAGTTTTCGTGTCAATCGAATCAGTCTTTGTTCAGCTCGTATCATTTGGTGTCTTAATGGTGATGCAACATACATGCTCTGAGGGTGATCATTTGGCAGCATGTGAGGGAAATGTATTGTCCTGATATCATGTAACTCTGAATCGTCCAGTAAGCCATCTTGCTCTAGCAGTAATTGGTTGAGCCTGCCTACGAGTTCATCATTAAATGTATTATTAGCTGGTATTCTGGAATTAGGATTAAAAAAGGATGATAGAAAGGTATTGTCGCCCATGTGGAAGCTGTTCAAAAAGTATCTCGGCTCTGATGTACGCACGGTTTGTAGCTGTCTATTGTATGAATCAATAGGTGTAAGTGATCCAGGTGTAGCGTATATGCTTGATGGCACTGATGCAATGGTTGAGTTGATGAATGGTGAGGGTTGGTATATCTGTAAATATTCCGGTGCATCAAAGAACATACTGCTATCGGTCGATGAAAGCGACGTACTTCGCGATAGGCGGTTAGTAACCTGGTATGTCTTGAATCGGTTTTCTGTAGCGTATGATTCGAGTGTTTTGTCGGTTGCTAGACTCCAGATATAGTCATCATTTCCTCCCAAGACTATGAATAATGTGAATACTATAGATCTTACGATGTCTATATATGCATATTACCTCGCAGGAGATTTCTTTCGTCTACAATTTCTTTTAATTCCTGATTTGAAACAAAGTTGACTCTCGCTTTGGCATTTTCACTCAATACAAGCTTCACAACCTGCCAAATGCCTTGATACATCCAGCCAAAGTTAACAACATAGACTGACCCTATAAATCCTGGAAATCGGGCATTTGTAATATTCTTTATTACTTGTACCAGGCCTGTATCCACTGGCACGAAAGGAGCTTTAGCAATGTCAATAATGATCGATATCTGTGATACTAATGTCGGTACTGATCCATTCTTTTCATTTTCTCTTGTTCTATCCCTTGTAATCTGTCTTGCAATTTCTAGCACTAAGCAAGCAAATGGCTGCATAAGATCTGACATACTCTTTGTCTTGTCTACAAATTTCGGAAAATGACGCATCTGAACAACCGCTACAGGTCGACCGATCAAGTCCTGTTTATGGAAAAAGACGAATCCGTTTTCAAAAAATTCTGGAACTACTGAAGTATACGTCATACGACCAATCCTATTTTCTGCTCTCCATTGTATTGTATCCAGTAATCTCGCTATAGTCTCCTCTATTGAAAAGTCTGTGTCCTTCAAGAATCGAAATATTGTCACTATTTATAGGTTGTTATACACATTTTGATGCAATAATGATGATATGATTACCTTTATCATCAACAAAATCAATTGCGTCTGACATATCAGTGTCATCTTCAAATCCTAGTAGTTCGATATCCTTTCGTAGTCGTCGTTGTACATTCTCTATAAGTTCTCGGTAATTTGAATATTCATCATCAAGTAAAATAATATTTTGTTTCGCAATAGTAAGCATCGAAAAAAAAAAAAAATGAGAAAAAAAAAAGCACTTTCCCCCCAAGCCTACCCCACTCTTGTAAACTCCCAAAAGCACAAAATGGATTACCTTTTTTGTTAATCATCAACAGTCACAGAAGCAGTCCTGATGGTGAAGTTCGTTTGTCTGTCCTAATGCTCGCTTCAAGGGAAAAAAACAAAATGCTCCTGTGACTTTTTAACTGAAAATAAATTTTTATTGGTCGATTTGAATAAAAAAAAGAGAGAAAAGCAAAAAGTCTTTTTTTAAACTTTGACATGCCAGCAAAGAAGGGAAACAGTAAACCAGCAAAAACTGCTAAAAAACCAAAACAAACAAATGGAAAAAAGAAGTCAAAAGTAATTAATCAAAATAATAAGTGTTATTACAATACTGAATTTATATTATTAGGATAAAGTAAAGGAATTTGTTGCAGTGCCTGAAAAAGACGATTATGAGATCTCTGACGAAGATCTTGAATTCTTTGCAGAAAATAAAGGGTTTACGTCATTTTTGACAAGTTTAGATGCAAAAGAGCTAACAAGGTATATATAAAAAGGGAGCGATCTTGACATTGACTAAATAGATCAAAACAGAAACACAGTCAAGAAACCAAAAGCACCTGTCAAAAAACCAGCTGTAAAGCAGCAGCAATCAGGACTTGAATCATCTGATGAAGAATCCTTGGATAACTTTGAAGAACCAGATTCTGATGAAGAACTGGATAATTTTGAAGAGCCAAATTCAGATAACGAACAGGTGTCAGATGTCGAACAGGAATTGGAAGACATGAGTGAAGAAAAGATGAGTGAAATGCTGGATTTGGGCAGCAAAAAGAAAAAGGCTGCAACCAAACATGACTCAGATGAAGAGATGGATTATGAGACAAAGCCTAGAAAGATCGCAGATGAATGGGCAGGACGTGCAAAGAGTACAAAGCTGCCTATTAAGTTACCTGGTGGTAAAATCATTCAAGCTGAGAAAGAAGAAGCTGAAGAGAAAGATGAGGATGAGGAAATGGAAGAGGTTGAAAGTGATCAAGAAGAAGATCATGTGGAGGAAGAGAAAGAAGAAGAAGAAGAAGAAGAAGAGGTTAAAGTAAGCAAAAAACAACACTTGATCAACAAGAAAGAAGAGTTAGCAACCATTGCAACCAATCTTCAAGAAGATCCTGAAGAACATATTGGAGAATTAAAAACACTGCGTTCTATCTATCGAGATGACAACCCAATTGTGAGAAAATTGGCCTTACTTACTCAACTAGCAATTTATAAAGATATTATACCTGGATATCGTATTCGTCCATTGACAGAAGCCGAAGAAGAACAAAAAGTGTCAAAAGATGTTAAAAAGTTGAGAGAATACGAAAAGTCTTTGCTTATGAATTATGAACAATACCTCAAGGATTTGACAGTACTGACGAGCAAGAAGAAGGCAGAGGAAGACCCAGCCTTATCATTGGTGGCGACTAAATGTCTATGTGAACTATTGGTCAGCAAGACCCACTTTAACTTTCGTCTAGAAATCATGGTTTCTCTCGTGACTCGCATGAGCACTGTTCAGTGGAATGAAGGAGCTGAACTGTGTCGAAAGGCATTGATTGAAGTGTTTGAAAATGACGAATCAGGCAAGTATTCACTTGATGCTGTCAAAATGGTCACTCGTATGGTGAAATCCAAGAGTTATATCGTGTCAGAAAATGCCATCAATTTGTTTTTACATCTTCGATTAAAGGACGAGATGGTTCCTGAAGCAAGTAAAAAGAATGATGACGAGGTTGTAGGCAAAAAGAGAAAGAACAAAGACAAACCATTCTTGACGAAAAAGGCAAAGAAAGCATTAAAAGAAACAAAGGAAATTGAAAAGGAGTTTAGAGAAGCTGAAGCAGTTGTCAGTAAAGAAGAAAAAGAAAAGAACGTAGGTCATACAGCCTGTTTATGTTTCTATAGCTCATCACTTTTTTTTTCTTTTGGTAGCATTCAGAGACACTGAAATTAATATTCGCCTTTTATTTCAGAATATTGAAAAAGCAAGTGACTTCACCTCTTTTACCTGCTGTTTTGGAAGGCCTTTCTATGTTTGCACATTTGATTAATGTAGACATGTTTGATGATTTACTGAATGCACTTCGCGATGTTATGCGATCATTTGAAGATACCAATGCTATTTCACGTACAAGCTCAGGAACAAGAAAAAGGCTATTGTGTATCATTACTGCATTTGAATTGCTATCTGGACAAGGAGAAATGGTTACATATGATTTGAAAGAATTTTACACAGAGATATACAATATTTTATTTAAAGCAACTTACCACACAGCTATCGAGGAAAAGCCTGAAAGTCAAGACATGACAGAGAGCGAAATGATTGTGAAAGGACTCGAGTTGATGTTTTTAAAGAAGAGACAAATTCCGATTGACAGATTAGGAGCATTTATCAAGCGATTTGCATTAGTGGCATTGAATATGCCAACCAAGACAGTGCTGCAATGTCTTCACCTGATACATAAGCTTGTGCAGGTAATTCAATACTTTTTTATATACAATGACAATATAACAAACATTTGTATCTCCATTATAGAAAGATCACCGTTTAGACGCTTTATTACAATCTGAAGACAGAGCGTCAAATGGTATCTACGCACCATTGTTGAATGATCCTGAGCTCTGTAACCCATTTGGAACCAGTTTATATGAACTCTTCCTTTATCAGGTAAAAAAGAAAAAGAAAAAGACAAGAGTTATAAAAAGGCTAATAAAAGAACTAGAACCACTATGATCCTAATGTTAGACGCATTGCGAAAGAATTACAGCAGACAAGTCGTTAATAATTAAATAAAGATAAATAAATACCTCTAGTTCATTTTTTATTTTAGATCTAATAAGCATTGAAAGATTCTCAAAGTGCCTGTGTTATCTGAGCCAGTGCTTGTTCCTTGGAGGAAGCCATTATCAGGAAATCGTCGAGATAAGCTGTTAAGCATATTCCTTTGCGTCTCGCCCATTGTAGCAAAGGTTTGGTTGCCTTGGTGAAAACCCAAGGAGACAGGCTGAGGCCGAACGGGAGGACGCGGCACTGGAACAGTTGTGAGCGTCATCGGAAACAGAGGCACTTGCGGGAGGAAGGATGTACAGGAATATGATGGAAGGCGTCCTTTAAGTCGATTGATGTGAGATAGTCGCCTGGTTGTAACAAGTTGGTGATCGTTTGCAATGTCTCCATCTTGAAGTGGCGCACGGGCAGGTAATAATTGAGTTGTCGCAGGTTGAGAACGGGACGAAGACCCCATTTTTCTTTGGAATCACGAATAAGTTGTAAAGGAAGCCTTGGGAAAGAGGAGGCACCGGTTCGATGACTTGCTCACTGAGCAGAGATGATATCTCGCTGTCGATGATTTGGGTTGTCGTTGTTGGAAGTTGAGTGGTTGGTGTTGGTAATGGATGGATTGCTTGCAGAGGATGAGGAGAGGAAAATGAAGTTGGAAGCCATGATGGAGGACGCTTGGGAGCCATGGGTGTATGGGCTGCTGTAGGGACCGAGACCAAGAAGGCACAGAAAGAGATAAACATCCCCCCACGATGCTTATTTCCTCTTGGTGATGTTGAGGCGAGATTGAAAACCCCGCTGTTGTTGCACATACTTTGACTGAATAATAGAAGTGTTGTTAGTAATGGTGTTAGATGCTGTCGTGTAATCATTAGGAGTCGGGCTGCCAAGGGATATATTAGATGCAGCTGTTGAAGATGATTGGGGCGAGATGACACGATTAGGTCGAGGTCTGGAGCGTCTGCGTGCAGAGGCTTGTACTGCTTGAGCCAGTTTGATGTGGTCCACCATGTCTTTGGGGTCCAAGAGATAGTTCTGAGACTCGTCGGAAGGAGAGTCACAAGAAGCAGAAATACCCTGGAACATGTTAGAAGTATGTTGCTTGGTGATGTGCGATGCCAAATCGGACAGAAGCTCGTGAATAGCCTTGACAAACTCCAAAGATCGCTGACGAGTAGTGTACAGATCCCACTGACTATGAACCAATTGATAGGCGAACCAGTCAATAGGTCGAGTAAGACCAGAGAGACGATACTGGATATCATGCAATTGAGTGTCGAAGCGACGCACGGGACCTGACAGGTTAACCTTATTGAGTTCAGGTAGATCTTAGGAACGAATGGTGTTCTTAGGGCATTTGAATAGGAAATGCCGGCACTCGGTATCTGGATAAGGACGACGAAAGAAATCTTCCTTAATGAAGTGGCAGTGTTCCAAAAGAGCTGTAGAAAGAGTGAAATCAGCCCTGGGAGACCAAACGACCACGTTGGAGTCTTCCTGTAAGAAAGGGGAAGACGCGAACTTAGCTTCCAAGGAGGAAAAGCGGTTAAAGAATTCCATGGCCCATGCAGGGGGCTCGGCTTGATCGTAACCATTGTTCTCAGTATTCATAATTTGACGACAAGTTGTTCAGGTACGTACAAATTCGAACGAAAAGAAGATAAAGGATCAAAAAAAAAAAGCTTTTTATATTACTGCATTTTATTTTGCGTTGTACAATTCGAATTAATAAAGAAATGAATGATTACAACAACCAAGATCACAAAGCTCGAAGTGTAATGATTGGAAAAACCAGGCAGTTCAACTATAGAAATAATCAGATAGTAAAATTGATTTTATTTAAACGTTTAGGGTGTGGGAATAGAATATGCGAGTGTAGGAATAGGAGCGTGTTGGAATCCGACAGCAAAGACATTTATCGTTGGAATATTCATCAAACTCATAGTTTTTTCAAGGCGTAACTGCATTAAAAGTTTATGATCAGATTACTGATACATTAGTATACCTGAAAGCTTACCTTCATTATCAACGATACGGTTAGCATTTCTAATGTTTTTGCAAAGTTGTTCATGTTAGAGCCAATTTCATATGATTTTGACCTATTCATGCAACAGATATATCCTTTGGGATGATTGAGGATGATGAATTCAATGACTAAACCTAGAAACAGCCGTTCTTAATAAGACAAACAAATTAAAAAAATGACAAATTGCTTACCACTTTGGACATATCCTATAACTTCAATTTCTTTTGTTATTTTTGTGTTCCAATCAACGTGCTGACACAAATTGAACAGCATATCTTTCAGAGTTTTGGGGAGTTTCAGTCTTGACTCATACTTGTATTTTTTTCCCGTTGGACCGTCATAAAAGGATGCTGCTTCGCACGCACCAAATTCCAACGGCCTATTTCCTTCACGTACTGCTTGTATTATCATATCAGGTTTATATCCTATCCTTTTTCTTCCAATTCTTTCTTGTGACTCTCGTTTTCGTTTGCCGCTTGAAAAGGATGACTTGTTGTCTCTGCAAAAAAAGTTGTTAAAACGGTATTGCAGGCTATAATACAAAATAATGTTTTCTATACCTGGTGCAGTTGATTCCATCAAGGTTACCGAAAAATTTGTCAATCACGGGAACCCATACGTTGCTGTTGTACCATTGCTCTTGTTGTTTTATCAGGAGAGGATTTGGATTTCTCTCATATAAATGTATTCTAAAGTATTGATACAATTAAATTAATTAAAGGACTTTTTCTTAATTTTTGATAGTATTGGCTTACAACGATTCAACTGCGTAGCATATTTTATCGATGTGAAACTCATCAGAGGTAGGATAATCAGAGTATCTTATCTCTGCATACTTCAAGAGAACTCTTTTGACTTCTTTGATATTTGTCTATAAAATAAAATAAATTACTTGGATTTAGTAATATAAAACTACAACAGATCTGTTACCTTGTTCATTTCTTGTATCAAATTAAGTATGCTTTCCGGCAAAGTTGTGGTTTCTAGTTCGGTTTCGCGAGTAATTTCATCCCATTCTTGTCCAGTAAAAAGTTTCTTCATCTCTGAGTCGGATGTATCGAGGATAAATGAATGCACAGCACTGTTCAAAATACAATAAATAAATAAATAAATAAAATAATGGTTTAGAAGATTCCTTACTGCTCTCGTTCCAGTTCCATCCCGTAATCATAAAGGACGTCTTCCACAGTTCTTCCTGAGCATAACTTCCACTTCATTTGGTTATCCATTGCCTTGAAAGAGCTCTCAAATTTTCTGAAGCTGAGATCCGTCAAGAGTTTTATAGATTCTGAGCAAGCAACGGACGAATCGGCAACGGAGGATTCAGCAGTTTCATCGTTCTGAAATAAATTAATTTTGAGTGATTATTTGATCCCATTCAAAATATTTATCAAATTGTTTACAATATTGCTTGAAGTTGATGGTGTTGATGACAGTAGAGGATCTTGAGAAAAATCCAAACTTTCCGGTGCTATGGAAAAAAATTAGTGCATACTACAAACTTAATCCAACTGAAATGTCAGTACCTGCGCATTTGTTTCTATTGTAGTGACGTTGAAGGCCACGGACTGTTTCAAAATACTTTTGACAAAAGCATTTGAATTTTGAGCTGCCACTTTCTCTAAAAATCGTTGCAGATTCACCTAAGTTCAAAAGATTAGTTCACAGTAACATTTGAAAACTATTTTTACCATTCTCAAGTATAATATGAGCAGCTGACGAATGTTGATCTCTCTTATGACTTTTAAGAGAATTCAAGGTAGTGAATGATAACTGGCAGATTTCGCAAGTAAGCATTTTGAAAAAAGAGAGAAACCCATTTTGGTGCATCTGGTGAATCTGGTGCACCTATTTTGGCGCATCTGGCGCACCCTATTTTGGTGCATCTGGTGCACCTATTTTGGCCAATCCAGTGCACCCATTTTTGCGAATCTGGCGAATCCTTTTTTCTTGTGGTCACAACGTCTTTCAGAGCGCTTGACCATTACGACACTTGTCCAAGAATTTATAAGAATGGCTAACAATGCCTTCAAAGTCACTTAACCGCAAACTATTAGATACTTTACTGATCCGTGTCATCAACGTTTCCTTCTCAAGGAACTTATTACGTTTCACTTTACTTTTGACCACTGACCAGAATTGCTCAATTAGGTTGAGCTCAGGCGAATATGAAGGCAAGTAAGCACAGTGGTAGCCACGAGGTTCTATGTATTTGCAATGTCCTCCGATATATGGATAGGAGCATTGTCCATCACAAGGTAATGACCTTTCATGTGCTGATACTGGTCCATTTCATCCATTGTGGCCTTCAGGAAGCTAACGTAGTGTCCTATCACTGCTCCTTTGCTCGCATGCCCAACGTTATCCCCTCGTTTTCTCTTTTTATTGGATGGAGGCTGAGGAAGTCTAAGGCTGTATTCGATTAAACCTTCAGCAGAAATCGCGCTTAAAATGGTTGTTGTTGCTCATGTTTTCGGAATTGTAACCACTGCTGATGTACCTCTCTTTGACCATGCAATAATACGTTTCAAATTAATATGGAAAGCGAACTCGTCAAGAAAGACGCAGTTTTTCGTAAAATCCATGTCAGTTTTTTCCCATTTACGTATCCAATCCAAGCGCTCTTGAATCTTTTCTTCGCTATTACGACCTACGGGTTGAAGCCGAGCTTTTTTGAGAGACAGATTGCAATGCTGTTTGGCAAAATCAAATAAAGTGGTTTTCGATACTTTTAATTCTATGAATATATGCTTTAGCTCCTTCATCAATTCATCTAGGACGATGGAAGCGTTCTCATCAATGCATCTGAGAATAATGTTTTTGTGTTTCTCATAGAGAATACGTGGACGGCCACCCATTCTCCGTTTTTCAAAGATACTCTCAGGATCCTTCTCGTACTGTTTAGCCCATTTTTGCCCTGTGCGGGCATGAATCCCAAGCTGTGTCGCAGCAGCAGCCGCACTCAGGCACTTCTCAAACATCAGCTTGAAGAACCTCACTTTGTCCTGATCAGAATAGCGTGTATAATTTCGTTTCGCTGATGTTCCCTTTACAACATCATTACTATCCTTTATCTGATTGTCCATCTGCATTGTCTCTTCTTCTTCTTCGATCGCCAGAGGTCGTTGAGCTAAATATTATGTATGAGAGCCCAATGTTTCAAGACGAAACTGCTCCTCATCAACAATATAATCCATTGGTTCAGGTCTGCCATACTCATCGACGACAGAACCTTTTCCATTTTCAAATAAGAATTGAATGTTCATTGTCTGTAATTTTTGGTGTAATGTGAAAAAGAAACGAAACGAAAGATAGACATTTGGATGTGCTCTTATATAATCAACAGATGTCAAAACTTGTGCAACAGAATATACTTAGCAACAAGACAAATGATTTGTTAGTCATGGCGAATTCATATTTCGTACAATACGAATTTTGTTCTTCTTATCAGGCGAATTGATTTTCCAATATAACGAATTTACTTTTCGTGCAACCCGAATTTTGTTCTTTACTCAGGCGAATTTACTTTCCGGAAAGAGTGTAGGTTACCACGACAACTTAAAAAAATAAACTGTGGATAAAATAATAAGCTTGTGTTCAATCCACGTGGTAGGCATCTCCACTTAGCGATTACTTTAAAAGGAAATTGAAAAATACTAAAAAAAAGTGGTGTTATCTTCTTGGCAGCCACTAAAGTCAGCTTAAATGTTTTGAATATTTTACTCTCGACATAATTACGACATCCGAACATATGATTTATAGTCAGAATGTATTATCTTGACCATATATGTACCGTTCAAAGATTTTGTTGTCTCATATGCTGTACACTGTAGCTTTTCAACACAGCTCCACTACGTCAGTATTTTTCGATCAATGTATATAAAAAAACCTACGCCGTCAATGCGTAAAGCTGTGCGCGATTGTTTAAATTCGTTACTGCTGTTGGTATTCAAAACTAATTTTTTCCATCCAAGCTTGGGTCACAATGACAACATTTGCATAAATAGCAGCTGTAGATTATCTCTTCTGTAAAACTCATACGTACATTGTTCTTTTCAAATGTTTCATTAAATTTGATTATGTCTATATGACATTTTCAACTACTAGTATAGTTAATCTTACTTTGCTGTCGATTCAATAAGTTTAGTTACAACAGGTGCATTATTGAAATTAAACAGCTGACTCTACATATACATCTTTGACATGAGTGTTTACCTTTCCGATTGCAATTCCGTTTTACAGAAACCCGAAATAGTATTTGAAACTGCTGCTACATACTAATCGAATGCTATCAGCTTAAGTCAAAAAAATTCTAAGCGCTTGACAATAAATTATGTTTAGCCGTTCTAAATAAAGCTTATACATACAGTCTTGTTCTATCAACCCTTAATAAAACAAAACTCATTTCAACACAAAGCATTGTCTAATGCGTCTGTTAAGGACGGTCATCACTTGAGAGTTCATATGTGTAAACTGAGTTACGAAGCGGAACATATAATCCAATTTATTAGCCCTATCAGATCTTGAACGTGCCCGTTTTGTTGAGAGAGTAATTACTAAAGAATCGTCATTTTATTACACTGCTAAATATTATATTTTGGTTTCAACGAGGTCAAGCGTACTGCTAACGGAGACACAAAGCGCAATGAATTAGATATGCCCTAATGCACTTTTTGGGGGGAAGCTCTTGGGGTATGGATAAGAGAAGTTGGTAGTAGCAATACCCGATCTGAATGAATTGGGCAAAGATCTGATTAGATTAGCAACTTAAGCAAGAGTATGTGCTTTGATGCTTATCTTTCATAGGAGGTTGCCAAATCAAGGTGTGTATGTCGATGCTTATTTCTGGTATATCTACCACAGCTATACTGAGGGTCTTGTCGTGTCCTTTTTATGCTGTACAATTGGAAGACAGAGATCAAAAACAACCCAGCAATCAGCAGCATTGATTATAAACCTTTCTATTTGGTATATTTTTAAACAGCAAAATTCAAAAATCGTACCTGTGCTTATTTGAATACATTATTCATGTCAAGAGTATCAATCATTGTGTATAAAGAAAGCACGGGTGACAATCTCCGAAAGTGGTGTGTAAACTTTAAGCCGTCTTGTGCCTTGTTTGACCAGACGCATGTGCCATTTTATCTATTTCCTCACCCCATGTGCGCATCCTTTTCCCTTTTATTTCGTTAAAGATAAGCTCTGCTCTACCTTGTTGATCCAGCCCTTGTTATTAAAAAGTGTGATAATCAATAATCCCTTCTTTTAAATCCTTGTTTCACAGGTCTAGACACGCTTCTTCTTCTATTGCGTTATCTTGGTGCATCCCAGAAGATGCTCTTGCCATGATTTCCTTATGGCGAGCAAAATGTAGACATAAGAGGGAGATCATATTTGCTCTTCATCAATACATGAGACATATGACCTGAGTTAATCACATAAATCCTGTACATAGACATTGATAAAAAAAAATAAAAAAAAGAGAAAAGATGGTATTATTCATAACACCATGTGTGCAATCTATTTGGTTTCATTAGAGCACACAAGATAGATCAGATACGCTTTCATGAAACTTGTGATAAAATACCACAACGTGGCTATTACACCAAAAAACAACATTAATACGTCACAGAGAAACCCTTTTTTGCAGAAAAATATAGACATTGAAATATATCCCCACGATATTTGCTCAATTTGACAATCTCTATCTGTATATTTCCCAGGGTGAAAAAGTCAAGATGATCATGAATGCTTGCGTTTAACGGCTTCTCTCTTTTTTTTTTTTCCAATCACAAATGATGTTGCATGTTTAAACAATTCAAATATGCACAAATTGAAAAAGAGCACCCTATATCTACATTTGATATCTGGACCGAAACATTGTCCGATTAGCAATATGAGTTGTTTATGTACCAGCCACTGTCTTTTTGGTTGCACCAGTTACCTTGAGGATAGTACACTGAATATTCGGGATCCAAGTGGGCAGATGTAGTTTTTTTTGTCAAAACAAGTGCAACGCTGCAGTGTTATTGTTATTGCCTATGTAATAAGAGTACATGTGATTGATGAGTACAAGGGACGGCCCTTACGGAATTGCCAGAAGTGTTAAAACGATGATAGCAAGTATTAGACTTTCTTAAACTGCGACTGTCTGTAAAAGGGCAAGACCAGTCTAGCACGGACTTTGGGCCCTGTCTATTTTTACTGAAAAAAAATGGATAAAAATAGTTTAACCGCAACAGTAAATAGGTACCAGATGAGACCGTGTTGGGGCACATCTTTATTATTATGGAAAAACAAAGTCATAGTTGCTATTCTTCAAAATGATTTTACATGTGAATTTATAAGGCGTTACACATAGCATTGACACGATTATTTAAATGTCTCTCTTCTTCTTCTTCTTTGTCTTCCTTTGTCAAACTTGTTCTTTTTTTTTCTTTATTTTGCTTTAAGCATATGTGTGTGGTTACGAATAACGTGACATTTATGAATAACAGCAAGATCAATCAAAATGAGTCAATTCCGTCTCAGACGGGTGCCAATTGTCTTTGTCTTATTTGTGGTTCAGTTGTCCACCAAACACAGGTAATCATTATATAATAAAAATAAGCGTGTGTATATTTATATTCTTATCTTAGCACTGTCCTGTATCTGCATAGAAACAAATTAATGTAGAGAACCATGTATACCCCTATCCTAACTAATAGCAACCTTCAATCTCCAAAAAAAGACACAAAAGCATTCATTTAGACATACTTTATCAACTTTTCTTATGCTCATATATTATTACACTTATGCTTTATGATACACTGTGCATGCATTTTTGTTAAATTTATAATAAGGGATCTCCAATAAAAATTACTTTATATGGAACTAATTAAATTCAAAGTGATCGGAAATAGAATTTGAATTTTATCATTAAATTTTTGAGATTCAGTACAAAACACTGTAGGACACATACAACTTTCTGAGACGATTTTTTAAGCGTATGAGGTATTTATTCTGCCCAATCAGCCGGATTCCAGTGATAACATGCTGGTCTGTATACGTTCTATCTGTGGAAATAGGGATTATTCAGCAGAGCATAGAAACACCAAAAGAAAGTTTGAGTCCGAGTCTAGATATTTCTATGCATATACTAGATGTTTCTACACAAATCTACACCTTTCTAATTAGAATGCCTAATAAAAACAATACCTAGCTTGTTCTAATTCTAGTTCAAGAGTTTCTTTGCAGCTACTTTGGAGAAAAACAACAATGAGCTATTCCCTTCACTTTATCACCCAGGCTGCTTAAAAATAAATTCACCTGTCGTATTCTACGTTGAATAAGGGTCGATAAGCAGTGTCTACATATCAATAACAAAAGCTTAGTAACATAAACTGACTAATCACAATAATAATTACAATTTTATATAACAAGTGTAACTATCAATTCTATAAAGATGTGAATGTCTGATACAGCTTGAGTTTTTTTTTTTTTTTTTTTTGCAATGTCCTTTGGTAATAATTGTTTAATATCTTCTTTTTTCAACATGCCATTTTCTTCTAAGACTGAATTTACAATAAGCTCCATTATTTTAGAGCTCATAACAGAGCAAATATCATTTTTTGAGGCGTTATTCAAAAGTGTGTATATTGTGTACGGCTGGGCTGTTATATCTTGAGTAGCATCTGGCCAGAGAATACGTACTACGCTGATGAAATTTAGATCGTAATTGTCTAAAATGTACTAATGCGTCAGAAAGTATTAAACTATTAGGATTGTTTAATATCTTGTTTACCAGATGAATGGATGAAGTTGATAAAAACATTCGTGTATTTTCGAAGGGGTGAAATTCTTCGTTGATGGTCCTACTTCTGGTGCTAGTTTTGAATCATCAATTCTTATACTGGAAATGACCAACAAGTTCATCGTTTTCGAGCCAAGTGCTAGTTTCTTAGGCTTGTCAACATTTATTTTTGTTATTTTAAACTTTTTGAAATATTATGAGGATAAATTTGATATGAATGATTCTTGTGTAGTTGACACATTTTCAAAATGAACGTCAATTGATGGCTATCTACCATATGACTCCACACCACTCAAAAGAAGCGCTTGATTCCATCAACTAATACAGTGTCGGCCAACAATTGCGGCATAGCCATGTACATAAAGGGCGTTTCCTCTAGTGGTTATACAATATGTTAAGATATTCCTCAGTAATATGTCTGTATTCTTCAAATTCCAGAAGCTGGTGATGTGTGCTTTTACCCACTACCTATGATGGTGTCCAACAAAACTTTTCACCATCTTGATTGGTGTTTCTTTTCAAGAAGAAACAGATAAAAAGAAATGTCATTATTTATTTATTCAACTTTTATGTTGTCAGTTCGATCAGCGACGTGTAGTTTTGATAAACTCTTATTTTACATCAAAGAATATTTCATTGGAAAGCTGTACATCTATAGGAGAAGAAGTGCCTGTAGCATCGGTGGTCAAATGGATATATACATTTAGAATAATGACGATATCATTATCTTCAACATTAAGTTCAGGCATGTATTCAACTGGCTGTATAAAAGCTCAATCACTATGCACGAGTTTTCTTGATGGGATACTCTGAGAGAATTTGCCTAAATTACACAAGAGTCAATTATGTAACCCAAAGATTAATTCAACTTTCTTTGATTGCATTCAATGCAGATAATGATACGCATATCATTGAAATTTATTCGAAGCAAAAGAGGAAGTGATTAAAAAACGGGAAGGGATGGAGAGTAAGGACGGAAGGAGGATGGAAAGGAGGAGTAAGACAATATCTATAAAGAACATAATTACAATACTTTTTGGTATGCAAAAAGATAAACAAAAGAAAGAGAAAAGAAGAATAGATAAGATGGGGGAATTAACCATAATGGAAGCTAAATCCACCAGGATGTTGACGTCTACCACCTGGATAACCATCACCAGGGAACCCTCCACCAGGGAAACCAGAGGCGCCGTGGAATCCACCACCAAATCCACCACCTGGGAATCCACCGCCACCGCCAAACATTTGAGCAAAGATATCATTGACGTCGACACCGTCCATACCTCCACCTGGGAAGCCTCCAGAAGCTCCATCGAGGTCGACGCCTGAATCATATCGAGCCTTCTTTTGAGGATCACTTAGGATGGCATAAGCCTCACCAATTTCCTTGAAGCGAACCTCAGCCTTCTCATCGCCTGCGTTCTTATCAGGATGATACTGTAGAGCAAGCTTACGATAGGCCTTCTTGATCTCTGTTTCTGTTGCAGTCTTGGTCAATCCCAAAACCTTATAATAGTCCTTACGCTGTGATTTCTTTAGTTCGAGCTCTGCCTTGCGCAGTAAATTCTGGTATTCTCTATTTGATCCATCCGTTTGAACCAATCGCTGATAATCTCTTACTGCTTCCTCGTATTTCTCTGTCTCCATGTAACAAGCAGCACGTCGACTATAGGCTTTATAGAATTCGTTGTCCAACTCGATGGCTTTATCACAATCAAACAAAGCATCTTCAAACTTTTTCTGTTTTTGCAGCACAGCAGCACGATTTGAGTACAGACGAGCGTTCATATGGGCGTTATTAGGGTCAATCTGAAGGGCAGCCGTGTAGGCGTCGTAGGCCTCTGATAGTCGGTTGGCTTTGAATGCTGCATTACCTGCCTCCTTTTGTGCTTCGATTGCCTTGGCCATCTTGAGAAGTGAACGAGCTTTGGCAAAGTCAGGGTCACATCGAAGCGCTTCGATACAGTGAGCAGCTGTCTTTTGATTATCACCTTGACTGTAAAATACACGGGCTCGTAGGTATAAAGCATCTGGGTTTTGAGAGTCTAAGCGAATAAGTGAACTATAATAAAAAAAAGATTAGTTCAGAGAAAAAAGTTAAAAAAGATCGAGCTTTACTTGACGATACGGCTTGCTTCTGAATAATTCTTTTCACCAAGGGCACACTCAGCCTGTAAAGCCCTCCATTTGACAGGCACTTGATCTGCATCGATAAAACTGATGGCACGATCGAGACTGTTGCGGGCAAGTGGATATTGATCGTTTTCCATAAATGTCTTTACTTGAGTAAGATACATCTGAACGTTCTGCAGGGCATTATATTCTCTCTGAGCCGATTTGGGATCCAACTCGTAGGCACGTTGAAGCAAACGAGTCGCCTCTTCTATATTGCCCATGTTGAGGTGACATTTGCCACCTCTTGAATAGGCCTTGGCATTAGTGGGGTCTAAATCTGTAGCTGTGCGACAGTCCGAGATAGCCTCTTTGTATTTCTTTTGCATCAAGTAGGCCGCGGCACGATTATTGTAGTAGGTGGATGTTTTTGGAGAAGCATCTATATTGTCATTTAGTCCTCGTCAGTATATAAATAATAAGTGAGGACTAACCAATGGCTTGACTGTATAGCTTAATAGCCTCATCATAGTGGCCGAGTTTATATTGCTCATTAGCCAAGTTTTTGATTTCTTCTGGAGATCTAGTTTATCATTAGTGAGCAAAGCAAGAGGAAAAAGTGCAGCAAGAGATGTTGTATTTATTTTACGGCTGAACGTCAATATCCATAGAAGACATGATGCTATACAATAAGAGTAAAAGAGAAAGAAAGAGAGAAAACAGCTCGAAAAAAAGATAATAAAAAAATTTATCCTAAAAACGATAGTCACCATGGCAACAGTTTCTATAGAATTTGCCAGAACATCTGTTCTTTATTCCTTTTTTTTTATATATATCATGGAAAGTGACCATATAAATAAACGGCCTAGACAAGAAGAGAGCACCAATAATGACTTTAATTTTCTAAGTCTTGATTTTAATATACCACCTGTACAAGACTTTGATTTTCCTATCCACACTGTATTCACTTTGATTGTTGGAGGTAAAGAGTACAAGCTTAGTTGGAAGACATTAAAGAACGATGGACCAACCAATTTTTTTGTTGATTATTTTAATAAAAAGAAAAGTACAAGAGTGATTCATTTGGACAGAGATTCAAGTACGTTTGACTTGATTGTAAAGCATCTAAGAGGATATTATGTTCGACCGGCAAATGATATTGAACATCAAAGCCTATTGACGGACGCATACTTTTATGGACTAGAGAGATTAAAAAAGATGTTGGAAGAGTATGTATATGTGAATGTTGGAGGTAGAATATTCAAATTACCATGGAGTTTGTTTCAAAAGACGCCGTCATCCAACCTGTTTAATGGACCGTTGATGTATTCGATGAAGGGGCATGTAAGCACGATTTATATTGATAAAAACCCGGATCTCTTTCAAGATTTGATACAAATGCTACGTGGATATCAAGTTGAAATTAAAAATGACGTACATCGAGAGAATCTCATCAGGGACTCACAGTACTACGCGTTTAAACATATTACAGAGAGACTACAGATAAAAAAGCTGAATGAGCAAGAAGTCTTGATTTTATTAAAAGATTTAAAGATAAAAGAGTTGACAACAATGGGAAACGAGATAAGATACAAAGAGCATAAACTGTTTATTCAAATCAATGAAGCACAAGTGAATGAATACAAGCTGAATGAACATTCAAGACTAGACGAGATTGGAAGCTTATTTAATGCCAGCATAGATTATCAAATCAGCATTAACACAGATACAGTCATGATCATGAATGACAGTATTTTTCAAGATGTACTCTGTCCTAACTTTGTTATTCAAAAAGGCATCTTTTATCTTCTACTTGACAACCAAATGATTCATTTGATTCCAGTCAAGTTACAGCTGACGTCTTCTATCCATGCAGCAAAGCAGTTCTTATAGTTGTACAATCATTTGATTGGATCATGCATTCTTTTATAGTAATTTTATAAAGAATTAAGCTCTGTCTCTTTTTTTTTTTTTTTTCTTTTTTATACATCTCTAAAATGCCTTTTCGTTGCAGATGTGGAAGAACATTTGAAAAGACAGATACGTTTGCTACTCATACATCCTCATGCGCTCCATTTCACCGCCGTCGTATGTCTGATACATCATTTCAATCTGTAAATACTCCTCAACAACCTCAATCAAGACATAGTTCACTCCCTTTTATCAACACATCTTCCATTGCTGAATCCTTTACGAATTTTCTATCTTCTCCTACTAAAGAAACCCCTCCAGATAACCTGTCTACTTCAATGCCATCTCTTTTTATGCCAACTGCTTTATCTATTCAAAATGCATTTGAAAGAAGAAGGTCAATGTCTTATAACGATGAAAAGAAATAATAATAATAAAAAAAAGAAATCATTTATGCATATTTAACTGTCACAGGCGTAAATTTCATTTTTTTTTTTTTTATTTACACAAATGCAGCCAAAGAGGCAAATAGACTACAAGTGTTCACTTTGTGATAAAGTTTATAAGAAGCCTAGTAAACTAAAAGAACATGAAAGAACTCATACAGGAGAAGTAAATACTCCCCTAATTTTTATTATTATTTGTATTGACCAATCTCATAGAGACCCTTTGTTTGTCATTTCCCTGATTGCAGTAAAGCATATTTTAGATCTTCGCATCTCAAAGTTCATTTAAAAAGCCATGCCAACGTTAAAGACTTTGTTTGCTCTTTTGATAATTGTGATGCCGCCTTTATGACCAAACAACATCTTCAACGTCATGAAAAGTCGCATACAGCTCCCTTGTTGAAGGTACACTAAATTTACACACACAGAATTTATATTAATTTTATTCAAAAGTGTGATTTCCCAGGTTGTACACAAATGTTTGCCAAACGATTTCAATTAAGGTGGCATAAAGCTTCCCATACTAAAAATTCCCATGTATGTGAATGTGGAAGTACTTTTGACACTTTGGCTGCTTTAGAAAAGCATCAACAAAGAGTACACATCAGTAAGTATGAACGATGATAATAATATATATTAACCATTGAACAGATCCTGTATTATATCACTGTAATCAATGTGAAACTGTGTTCAAAAAATGGTCAGAGTTACGCAGACACATTAAGCAAACCCACCCTATAGTTTGTACGATATGCAACAAGACGTATACCAAGCAAAATAACCTAAAACAGCACATCAGAGAGAAACATTCAGGTGATTGCTCTGTTCAATGTGAATGGCCTGGGTGTAGTTCTGTCTTACAATCTGTAAGTTGTAAAAGTGTGAAAATGTACCCTATTGACACATAAATAGAAGCGAAGCTATAGAATCCATGTTGCACTTGTGCATGAACAGGATGTACGCTTCAAGTGTGATATATGTGCCAAAGGCTTTCCTTACCAATCAATGCTTCAAAAGCATCTCTTGTCTCACACTCCGGTAAGTGGTATAAGCGTGTGTATTTATCAAAAGTAAACACATATCCAATGATATCATAGAAACCAAAGTCTCCAAGAGCGAAATCTCCCTCACTTGCTGAACAGCTGACAGGACACAATCACTATAAAAAACAAGATTACCCATATGAATGCCCTTTCAAAGATTGTCAATACAAATTCACAAACACGTATTTATTAAGAAGACATTTGGAGAGTCAGTTTCATGCTGAGGATGTAAAATCTTTTGTGGCTAATAATACTACTACAACTACTATTGCTGAATAACTTCACTTGGATTTTGAATCACGATCAATAGATAGTCTTGATCTTAAAAGATTATTAATATACATGTAATAATAATAATAATAAATGTCTTTATATACCCGGTGCAATCATTATTTCATGCTTTTTAGTTCTCACTCTTAAGAATGTCAAGTCGTTCTAATGACACATGAGCAGTTTTGTTTTTTATAGAATAGATAAAACTTACTTGATCATCAAGCGTCTTTACTGCTGTTCTTGCTTGTTGAATCAAAGAAGCAATCAACTGTCCATACTGTTTTGTCAATTCATGGTCCAGAGTGGATCGAATGGCAGCACCCTCAGCATTAACAATCACTACTGCTTTTACTCCCTTTTTACCGGATATGCGTTTCAAAGTCTCATCTACATCAAATGTCTATTGTAATGAGTTGTTTTTTCTTTTTTTAACTTGCTTTTTTTTTTTACCATTGTTTTATAGTTAATTTAATAGTTAATTAGTTGGGTATATTTAAAGAAAAGTGAAAGAAAAAAAAGACGGACATCCAATATGAGAAATAAAGGTACATGTTGTCTGCTTTGTAGGGTATTGGTTGTGTGTGTGTGTGTCTATAAGCAATTAAATAGTTTGTCATTGTTCATACCTATCAAAAGATCTCCCTTCTTGTTGGGCAAAATCTGGGATATATATAGCATCATCATAGCTGGTCACTGTAAAGCAAATATATGTGCTTCTCAACGCACACATATACAGAGAGAAAACAAGATAACAGAACAAACGCGTCCTCTATTGGACATTGAACTGGATTGAATTGGGAATATAAAGTTGGTTATGAATATATATTGAATCCAAACAAAAGGCATTGGTTTTCTCTATTAAAATATCATGGATGATTTTAATTATCTTTAATGAACCTAAAGTTAATTTAGCAAAGCATATTTCTCTTATATATTCTAAAAGACTAGACAACAGACGTGAACTATGCGCTTTTTTCAAAAGAGTGCAGATGTACACAGTCTTTTCAGAAAGTAAAGTCGTATTTTTGCAGTTTTTATAATACAATTTATACGAAAAAGCGACAAGTCAGCGCGACATCTCTTTCTGGAAATGGTGTA